ACTATTAATAATTCTTAAAGTGCTCATATATTACTGCCTGGAACTCAGGGGTTAAGGGGATATACATGTTCACTTAAGGGATGACATGTTCACTTAGCAGTGATTCCTGGACTATAGACATCAGAATTTGAGACTTTGGGGACTGACATAGCAAGAGGAGATTAAAAGACTACCACCTACTATTACACCATTAAAAAAATAAGACAAGATTTAACACCCTCAACATTTTGCCATTACCTAGCCACTCTCAGGTACACAGTTGGTGGCAGTTGATACAGGAGCAAAATGCTTTCAGAGAGGTGAACACTTTTTTGTCCAGTTATTTTATGTGTCTAACTCTTTGGATTCACAGCTTAGAAGGTACCAACATTTGTTCCCCTATTGTGCTTGCAGTACTGGTATTCATGGCCAAGAGTATTACCAGTATTAATTCAACCAAAAAGCTATGATAGCTAGAATAGAGAACTACCCGTCAAAGCCTTGATACAAAATTGATTTCCTACAAAATCCCTATAGCATCACAGTGGTTTCTTATGGGTTAGGTATAGAGATAAGATTTTAAAAATCTCTTGGAAAGGCTTAGAGAAATAGATGTAGGCACTGGCTAAGAATTCTTCACCACTTACTCCCCTTGATTTCCCATTCAATTTATAGTTCAATTTCTAGGTTTCCATTCTTATTATGTGTATCCTAAGACTACTCATTCCATGGCAACTGCAAAAATAACACTAACTTTTAAAAACATGAATTGTAGAGGAAAATATAAACTGAATAATAATAGTATAATTATCACACTTATTTTAGTAAATTCTGCAGCTCAGGACAATACTTTTCTTACTATTTTCATTTTTCTTTAGGTTGATCCTCACTAAATATTAACTTGCCATATTCAATTAATGTATAATAAAAAACTAACTTTAAATAGTTAAAGCATTCTTTATTCTTTTTACTCTGAGAGTTAACAACTAGATATATCTATTTATAGGTTCAAAAAATCTCAAACTTTAAGCAAAGTTGCTGTAACATGGAGCATTCAGAAGCTGCCTATCATGATAGTAGGAAGAAGATACAAATGACTTTGTATATTAAAGACATGATAACATTTTAAAGACATAGTATATTATTTCCCATTTGACAAGAAGTATAAAAGTTTAATAAAGTTTTCAGGTAGACTAAATAATTATTTTAGCCTTTAATAAGGTTAACCACCAGTTCACAAATGTTTAATCAATCATGGGATTGCATGGGGTCTTTAAAGCAAGTAGGGAGGCAAGGAAATGATCATCATGATGTGTATTGATGGTATATGGTATGATTATAAATGCAGTACTATGGACTTTGAAAATGGATTTCATATAAAATGGATGTATGGATGGATAATATAAACACTTGTTGCATTTAGAGTAATAAATGAGTAAGACTTCTCCTTTTAAGGTAAAGTGATAGACTTTTTTGCAACTATATAAGTGCATTTGATTCCTTCGTTTGGTTAGGCAGCTTGCTCTTGACCCCAATAGACACTCTCTCCCTGTCCTGCCATCATATTCATTCTCTCATCTTTCCTCAAAAAGAAGCAGATTTCCCCCCTTTCTTGTCTGAGATTTGCAATTTTCCCATCACTAATGGTTTTCTTCCCTTCAGCTTTTAAATATGTTCAGGTATTTGCCATCTTAAATATCTTAAATATTTCTCTATCTTCCTTCTAACTCACATAGTTCCATTCCTCTTGCTAGGGGAGGTGGGAAGTCCTTAGCTATTTTGGATCAGTGAGATGTAAGAAGAGGACTGTTGAAGGATTCAGGGATAAAAGGGTCTTCTCCTAAGAGATAGTTACTAGAAGTCTGTTTCTCTCTCTTGCTGGATCTGAAAAAGGAAGCTCATAACACAAATTGTCATTGATAAACATAATTATGAAAGGAATAAGTTTAAGGATAAAGCCAACAATGTGATGGCAGGGGAAAATGGGAAAAAATTCCTTAAGTGTTTAATAATAGAGAACCAAGGATTAAATATGAGGATTAGCCTAGATCTTGGCTACTTCTTATGTTAGCTAAATATTTCCTTAATATTAAAAGTGTTTGCATTGAATTTTCTACAACTTGCTGTAGAAATCATCCTATTGATAGAATCTTTGATTATTCTGTCTCTGTCTCTTCTTCCTAAGTATTTTAGGTCTCTTAGATGTTGTTCCATGGGGTTCTGTGCCATTCTTCTGTCTCACTCACGGCTCAGTAATAGCGTGTTTTGATCACTCCTAAATTTGTATCTCCAGCTAAGCTTTTTCTACTGAACTTTAGATAAATATATCCAAATATCCACTGAACACTTCCACTTAAATGCCCGAAAGATACATACCCAAATCAATATAATAAAACCTAAACTTCCCCTCTCCTTCTCCTGTTACTCTTTCTGTATTTCTCCTCTTGGCAAATGAAACACCATCACTCACTCGACCAAATTAGAAACCTGGGTATTAACTTTGGAACTTTTTTTTTTTTTTTTTTGAGACAGAGTCTCGCTTTGTTGCCCAGGCTAGAGTGAGTGCCGTGGCGTCAGCCTAGCTCACAGCAACCTCAAACTCCTGGGCTCAAGCGATCCTTCTGCCTCAGCCTCCCGAGTAGCTGGGACTACAGGCATGCGCCACCATGCCCGGCTAATTTTTTATATATATATCAGTTGGCCAATTAATTTCTTTCTATTTATAGTAGAGACGGGGTCTCGCTCTTGCTCAGGCTGGTTTTGAACTCCTGACCTTGAGCAATCCGCCCGCCTCGGCCTCCCAAGAGCTAGGATTACAGGCGTGAGCCACCACGCTGGAACTTTTAACTATCCTCTATGCCCTATGTCTAATCACAGATAATTTTGACCCTGCCTTTTAAGACTATATTGGATCTATGCCTTTCTGTCCACTACCCATTGTTACTGTCTAATGTCCCTGGATCATTGTGGGAGCTTCTTACCTGGTTCCATTGTCTCCCACCATTCTCTCCAATTTCTTATCTGAAAAGCTGTCAGTGTCCTCTAAATGAAAATGTGACCATGTCCTTTCCCTATTTAAAACACTTTAATGTTCTCCTTCCTATTTCCTACATGATGAAGCCCAGCATGGTTTGGCTTCTGCTTATCCCTCCAGCCTTATTTGACACCACTCCTCTCTTCTCAACTTCCTTTCATTTCCTGACTAAACAGGTACCCTTTCCAGGTGTTTTCATAGCCCTATATCCCATCTTGACAGCACTCACCACATCGTATTGTATTTTCCTGTAGCAATGGATATCATTACCCAATAGGCAAATTAGCAACATGCATAGTGCCTCAAAATCAGTAACATTACAAATTATTTTGGATAAATAAAATTTGACATTTAGTGTACTTTTTTTTAAAGCACTGAAGTAGTCATCAAGGAGAAAAGTCATCTAGGTCACAAAGAATGTATGCAAGTATGTAATATGTATGTAAGTTATGAATCATAATTATAAAATGAATACTCATGAGCTTAAAAACTAGAGAGTAAGAACCACAATTAGACTTCAGAATTAGAATAGCACTGATAATTGTATCAGCTTCCTCCCTGATCCTACCACTACCTTCCCTTTAGAGGTAACCACAATTCTGAATATTCTATTTAACATTCACTTAAAACAGTAGTTTTCTTTCCCATGTACTTATGCCTAAACAGTGTATTTTCAATCTTGCTTGTTTTCGAGATTTATAAATATGGTATTCCTGATGTTTTCAATCTCCTGGAACTTTTTTCCCGCTTAAATTATGTTTCTAAAGTTTATACACATTATTGTAATTATAGTTTACTAACTTTTCATGGCTGTGAAATATTCCTTTGTGTGAAAGCATAACTTATTTACATAATCTCCTGGTGATGGAAATTTGAGGTTTTCCAGTTTGCTGGTATTGTAAACATTACAAGTACCTTGTGACATGTATAAAAGTTTTTCTAGTATAACATCTTAGGAGGAGAATTGCTGGAAAGTAGGGTATGTTCATGTTCAGCTTTATAAGATAATTTGTTACCTAAGTGATTGTGCCTTATGTTACTATAAAAAGTATAAAAAAGTTTCCATTGCTGTTATACTTGCAAACAACTTATATTTTTCAGATTTCTTAACTTTTGTCAGTCTAGTAAATGTAAAATAGCATCTTTTGCATTTCTCTGATTGATAAAAAGGTTCAGTTTATTTTAATGTTTATTTATCCTACTGATATTTTGGCAGTTTAAAAAATTGTGTTGTATGTCTTTATTATTGATTTGTAGGAGTTTTAAAAAATATATTCTGCAATGATGCAAATCCCTTGTCCCTCTTATATATTGCAACTATCTTCTCCCAGGTTGTGGCTTTCCTTTTACTCCTGTTATGGCGAACTATCATATAGTATTATAATTAACTACTTACCACTTAGCATACTTAACTAGATTAAAAGGTTCTTGAGGTAAGAAACCATACCTCACTCATTTTTGTTTCCCCAGCAAAACAATTTTATTTACTATCTACTAGTAAGTGCTCCACACAAAATAGTGTACATACAGTTGCTCAGTAAATGTTTGTTGAATGAAAGGGGACTTTAGATATAATGAATCCGTCTTTTTGTGGTCAAATCTCATTTTATGCAAATTGGCTAAAACACACTGCTGAAACTGAGAGAATTGGAAGTATATGTCACATACCTTTCTGTATTTGCATTTCAGAGATGGGTAGTAAGAGGTTAGAATATCTTAAGATACTCTTAAGACAAAGATGTAATATCTGCAGAGAGGTGGCAGGATGTTGTTTATAAACATTCGTTACCAACTCTGGACACTTGACAGTGTCTATTTTCCATAGTTTTCAATGCACTTACAGTTAACCAAACATGCTAGAGTAGGATAATATTTAACCTAAAGTTATTACAAAGTTAGAAATGATGTTAAGACACAAGATATGGATTACATATTACAATGGATGTGGAAGGTTCATGGTTTGTGTCATCAATTTAAAATTGGTTACCTTTTTAGTAATGGTGTCCGGAGGTACATCCCGCCTCCCAAGTGGGTAAGGATTCCATTGGCCACTAGGAGATACATCTTCTTGTCCATTGTCTAAAATGTTGCTTTGCTGGGACGGGGTCTATTGCAAAAATGGTATGGCATTCTTTAGTGATGTAGCAGAAGTTTACCATAGTTTTCTGAAAAGAGTCCCTAATGATTATGGCAAAATTAATTTTGTTTAATTGCATAAAAACATTCTGAACTGGAAATATTATTAGATACTATTTACTAGGTACAAATTCTAAATTGACAGCTTTTTAGAAGCAATGAGAAATATAATTAAGATAACCATCTTAGAGTTATTTACTGAATTTTAAAGAAAAGTTTAGATTATTTACAATACCTGAATAAAAATGATCAGAATAAAATCAAGTGTTAAAATCCACAACATTTAAAATTGTCTTAATTTGTCTCTTTAGTACAATCTTACTATTTAGAATATAAATTGAAACCATATAATACATAGAATGTAACTTCCAATATTCCAAACCAGAACCTAAAATAAATTTTATAAGGCTGTATTGATTCTGGGAGAATATGCCTTGCACTAATCCAAAATAGTGTTACCACTGGCATAATGCAAGATTTATGGCATTATCTATAAATAGCCTTGAGGGAAATATTAAAGCAACATCAAAAATATGCTATTAGAAAAAATTATGCTATTAGACTCACAGTATAAATAAATCATGACTGCTTTGAGTACCAAATTTATTTATTTATATAAATCACTTATGTATTTACATTTAAATTCTTCATATATATTTTTGGCTCTTTTTCTGCCTATTATTTTTAACAAATAATAATACCCTTTTCTTTATTATTACTAATATTAAATATTTGGGGGCAACTCCCTATTCTAATCTGAGTAATAGCAAGCAATCACACACCATCAGAAAGATAGCCCCCAGCGGAGGGATATATAGTGGTATATTTGTATCTATTTTTGCAAAGGCTTTTTTCCTTCCCTAGTCTATAGGATATAGGAGTACTGGTTGGTTTCCTTGGGAATTCTTATGTGGTTGAGATATGCCCCAGTGCTACCTGTGCCATTTTCTGCACTTGTTTTAAATACTTCCTACTGATAAAGCCTGGTTAGAGAGTGTATATGCTGCTGCACTTTGTGTAAGGAATCATCCTCCAACCCTAGAAAGGGGGAACTGGACTATTCTCTTTATAATATGTTATAGATGGGCTGCTTACCAGACATAACCTGGTTATATTGAGTTCCCAGTTTGTTTTCCTTGGAAAAACAATTATATATCTGGTTATATTAAGTTCCCATTTTGTTCTCCTTTAAAACACAATTATATAATCACTCTATCTGCATTCTGACCACATGCATTTTTTAAAAAGCATTGTTTGAAAAAATTTTAGAATAGCATTTATTATGACTCTAGGTGACATCTTCCTTGGGTTGACTGGATATAATGAAAGCTAAGGAGATAACTCAGTTTTCTTCTCATACCTTGGTAATGTGAATTATTTTTTCATAAGCCTATCAGAAAATATAAAAAAAAAAACAGAGGAAAAGGGTACTGAATTTAAGTTCCTGGGTTATTTAGGAATGAGTGGGTGTTTATTTGAAAAATCAAATGTAGATAACACATTGAAATTACATGTTACTTGAAAATACCCAGGTAGCTATTCAACGCCTGTCTGTTTTCAAGCATTGATTTTCTAGTTTTCATGTTTTCTAGATGAATATGTTTGCATATGCCCATACACAATTTTACATATATTAAAATATGGAATATACAAATACTGAAATTAAGCAGTTAAAACATAATTATGCAGGTTAAACACCACTGGTCAGTGTTTTCTTTTTGATTTTTTAGTACTTATGTCTTTTCTGACTTGGTGTGTTTGCCAGTGAAGTGGGATAATTAATATGTTCATGCTCATCTGGCTAGGTCCATGCAATGCAAATTTTTGAGATGTGGCCAGAATTCAACACAGATTTCCTTTTTTATCCCCATATCATCCCCATCTACATCTCTATTTCCTCTACCACACTTGCTTTAGCTGCCCAGACATGACTCTGAGTCATTGTTAGAGAGCAAATGAGAATCACAAAATTCTTTTCCGTGTAAAAAAAGAGGCTGAAGCCCTTTAGTCAAAATCCTAATACGATGGTGTAGGCTCTTACTAGTTTATAGGTTAATATCTCTCTTTTTTAAAATTAGAATTAACAATCCCACCAATTCTTCTATATTACAGGTGCCAGAGGGAACATAAAGATGCAAACACATAAAAGAAGATATTCTTTTTTATCTTTATCTTTTTATATTTTTTTATCTTTATCGAAAAGATAATTTTGATAGCAAAATTGAAATAATTTCCTGAAAGCAACTTCTATGTAAGAATGCTCTGGCCTTTTTGTTTTTATTAAATGAAATACCCAGTGGTGACTTAAATTTGCAGAAACAGAAAGATCATGAAAACAATTTATTAACATTTAGTGGTAGTGTTGGTGGGGACCAAAAAGAGAATTATGCAGTATGTTCACATTCTTTCCCAAAGGGGTATAGCTATTGTATATAAATCCAGTTGCTTAGCTGCTAAAATTATATAACAGGCTCAAAGGTGCTCCTGAAAAATATTTTTAAAAATTAAGCTGTCACTCTTGAAATTTATTATTTCAGAGAAAATAACCAAACTGAGGTTCAATTATTCATTCAATTATTTTTTGGACCACATTCTTGATATTTTCTTCAGACACTTTATTTATCTATTTTTTTAAGAGACAGGGTCTTTCTCTGCCACCCAGGCTGGAATACAGTGTTGCAATCATAGCTCACTGTAGCCTCAAACTTCTGTGCTCAAGAGATCCTCCTGCCTCAGTCTCCCCAGTAGCTTGGACTACAGGCATGCACCACCATGCCCAGCTAATTTTTAAATTTTTTTCTTGCTGTGTTGACCAGGCTGGTCTGGAACTCCGGGCCTCAAGCGATCCTCCTGCTTCGGCCTCCCAGAGTGCTGGGATTACAGGCATGAGCCACTGCACCTGGCCAAATATTTTCTTTAGGTACGAGTAAAAATGAATCTTATTTTCCTCATTATATACAACTAATTAAAGATAAAAAAACATGGAAAATCATCAAAATACACCATTCCCTTAGCCTCTAAATTATGTAAGTATTCAATATTTCATAAAGTAATAGAGAAAATGGCCAGTGTGATTTAGTGAAAATGAGAAATTATTATGTTTCATAAGAAATGCAGTAATGCTGTAGAAGTCTTACTGAACAGATGCTATCCCTAAACATGAGTGTAGACATTTGTAGATTTAATATTTATGATTTTGACTATTGTGAATGATCATGAATGTCTACTTGAAGGAGTAATTTCTAATTTTGCTGAGACAAATGTGCATTTATGCCTATCTATGCGTATGTTTGCATATGTATATGTCTATGCATGTATGTACATATGTACAAACATATGTGTATGAACAGAATTCACATAAGTTAAATAAGCTTAGCTGATACAGCAGCTTCGCTCTGATCTGTTAATCAATGAGTGCACAGTATGCTTGGGAAATTATACTTACTGCATTTTGTTGGAGAAATTGCATTAGAGTGGTATTAAAATTTGGCACTTTGCAAAGGTGTTGGGACATATCACTTAAGAACACAAGGATCTGTTTTGTTGAGTAATTGGAACATGGTTCATAAAGAGATTAAATTGTTAAAAACAATTTTTTGCAAGTGTTTCCAGTGAAATTGTTGTTATATTATTCTCTTTCATCATACTTTTTGGAAAATATAGGTATTACAAAGGTCAATATACACCAAGCTTGGATCTAAGTGATTATGATTCCATGGGCCTCAATCTGAAGGTAGTAATGTAATGCCCAAATAATTTTTAAGCCAACATTTCATTATAATAGTGATGAAGCACCCATGTGAGCACTAACATTATTGTTAAATATTTTGGTGATTTTAGCCACTGTCTATGAGAATTTATGTGGATTTACAGGCTGAAAGTTTTTTTCATAATTAGAAAGGTAAGCAAATCTTCCTTGAGGGATAGGTAGCCAATAATAAATGCAACAAAATTGATAAAAATTATATACATGAGTTGCTCCGAGGTGCAGCATAAATCTTGCTTTGCTTGCAGCAGGAAAAAAAATGGCATTAACAAAGTAACCCTTGGCACTAGGGTGAATAAATGCATACCAAATGTTGGTACTATCTGATCCTGAGCATTTGCATAGATCCAGTAAGAAAGGACATTAGAAATTTAAAAATAGTTTAGCTGCAAACATTGCTATCTAAATTTCTCTAACTCAAAATCTGGTGGGATGAATATAAACTAATTCACCAATTTTAATAAAACAAATGGTGGGACCAATTTCTTCCAGGCAAAATTATATGATAAGGTTATCTAATATGTATATTTCTATGATGTTAGCTTTCCTGTCCCTGAAATTAAAATTAATTTATATTAGTGCCTAATTCAATAAGCCAATAAACAGTAGATGTGATGGGATAATATCATGGTGATAGAAGTTCAAAAAAAGGACAAGAGAAAACTATCAATTTCTCCAGTGTAGAAGAGACCATACTATTTATTGGCAGCCATATACCTGCTGACAGAGAGTTAGGAAAGGCCAACGATTTCTTCCCCAGCCCTGCTTCTCTCCAGGGCTGCAGCAGTCTGGATGATTAATGAGTGAATTTCTTGGGTCCATAACCTTTAGCCTTTCGCTGCTACCAAACATAATTCTTGGTGATATTGAGTGCTCAGGAAATGCAAGTGGATCTGAACAAGCACAAGGTAATTACTAACTTTCATTAAGTTAGCTAACTAAGAGAGCACTATACCTGTAACACATAGGGAATGATTAGGATCATGATATGCTTTGGATGAGTTAATATATTCTACTTGTATATTCTTTTCTCCATCCATAATATCACCTTCTCTCGGTTGTTCTGAAGACAATGTGAGATAATAATGCATAGGAAAGAGGTTTATCAACTATGATGAGTCATGTTCTATGAAAATGTTAGGTTTTACAAACATTAGAGAAAGCATCACCATATAGTAGAAAGAATATGTACGTGGGTACCGAGCAAAGGCAGATTTAAATTCCACCTAATACTACACTAAATGCAGGGGAGACAACGGTGAAACAGTAAAACTGCATTCTTTTGTGTGACACATGAGCCTAAGTTTCCTCATCTGTACAATGGACATAAATATGTCCTTTGAGGGTTTTAGTGAGTTGTGAGAAAAAATATATTTAAAGTGCCTCATAGAGCTTTAGTAGATTTTCAATAAATCCTAGTTCTTTTTTTCTCCCAATGGAAATATGTATTGATATGTATAATTTAGATAGCAAAAATGATAGTTTGTACTGACATTTTACAATGTTGTATTTCTCACTGATAACATAAAATTCAAGACAGCAGCTAAGCTCAAATACAATAGTACACATCCAAAGAAACACATGGAACCATTAATAACATCATAGAAAATTGCCTTAAATGCTTTTTGGAAAGGCAGTAAATAAATGATAAATCAATAAATGAATGAATGAATGAATAAATAAATAGAAAATACTAATAACTCCACAGTCTGGTTCAATGTTCTAGTTCCTAAATATTATTAAATTTTCTAGGAAACTATAATAGCATAAGCATCAATAAATGAAAATATTAAAAAAATTAAATTTATTAATTCTGTTGTCATTTTGGTATTTTCTTAATACCATAAAGCATTCCCCAAAATTATTATAGAATATACAATTTCTACAGTACAGAATCTACAGTACAGAAAGTCTGTATTTAGCTTGTAATCCATGAAAATGTACAAGTGTCAACCTGGCATGTAATAAATATGAAAAAATTAGAAATATTCAAAATACCTAGCAAAATCTGGGAGAGTGTTCCCTTTTCATCCATATAAACATTCACTATGTAAATACTTTCTCAAGTGCAGAGTTCTTTAATCTTTACTCATGAATAATTATATCCTTTAATTAGTTTATTTCAAATGTGTTTAAAAACAGTCCTGGTGCAGCAGAGGAAATACAAAAAGGTGTTCCTCATTGTTGCAAGAGGCAAGTCTTGGCAAACAGAAAAGATGGGAATGGGGTCTGGATGTTAGCCCCTGCATGTTCCGTGGGAAGGGCATCACCTGTTCAAATGTAGGTTGCAACTCCCTTTCCAGTGCTTAAGTTCTAATAGGTGAAAACCTTAATTTAGATTCCTTAAGAAACTTCATTCATTCTTTCTAGAACACCCCAGACTCATTTGCCATGGCATCTACCTAGAGATGGCCAATATTACCATTCAGGAATTTTATGAATAAAAAAGATCACCTCACTATCTTTTTATCTATCGAATTGCCACTAGAGAAGGAACAGTTTTGTCAATTTTATTTACTGAAAATATTTGTTTATACATTGATCTTACTTTTTATTTTAGTGCAATTCTCATGGCTAATGAGCATTTAGGGGCTGCAAATAAATCTTAAATACCTGAGACATTAATTTTTATTATCTTAAGTAGCAAGACAAAATGTTGTAATAGCCTTTTATGCATTTCTAAATCAAAGGAAAATGATTTTTGCCTATCTCCTCTCCTGGGGAGAAAGGTTTAGGGAAACTGAACCTCAATCATGGGACTGGGTTAGTAATGATGAGTGGACAGGGATAAACCGAGAAACACATTTTACAAGAGGTTGCTCTAAAGCCTGGCAGAAAAACAAACATTTTCAAATCAAAGCTCTGTAGAAGAGACATATATGGGCATGGAGGTGAAAGAGGAAATACAAAAAGGTGTTCCTTCCTCATTGTTGCAAGAGGCGATTCTTGGCAAACAGAGAGGACAGGAATAGGGTCTGGAGGCTTAGATTGGAATCCATGGGAGGAGGTAGAGCCTGGAACTATTCATGAAACTGATTAAGTAGCCAGTGCCTGATAAGGTTCCTGCACTGGTGATGGGGCAGTTGTCCCAGCTGCCTAAATGCTTCAAGTTTATAGGTCTTAAACTGATAAGTTTGGGACCATAATATCTTTGCAGTGATGGAGTATTTGCCCTGCCTGTGTGTCTTTTTCATGCCTTGCTGTACCTTCATTCTCCTCCCTCCTCATTGTCTTTGGTGCAGATAATAAAGTATTGATGATAATTTATTTTGAGGTGGAGACTTTCAATACTTGAATTATTCTTGGTTTGCATCCAAACAGACTGAGGTTTGCAACCATCTGACTGAGGATGGTTGAGAAGTCCCCAAATATAACTCTGCATTATTTCTGTTACAGATCATCTTAGAATTATAGTAATAGATAGTGAATCTATCTAGGGTAGTCCAAATGACATAAGAAAATTAATATAGCAATACAGAGGTACCTAATTTATGTTTGGAGAATAAGTTAGACACTGAGAAACACTGTTTCAAGCATATTGCCATTTTTCAGATACTGATGTATCTATATTATTAATATTATATATATTGATGAATAAATGTAGCCCAAATTAGGCAAAATAAGGGAGTCTCTATATAATTTCAGAGGGTTCAGGCAATAGCTTCCTTAATACCAAGATCTCGTTAATCTGCTTGCTGAATTTTGAAATTTCATGATTTGGGTTTGAAGATTTGATTTGTATCTAATTGCCAAGGCCTCTAGGAGAGGTGTCTATTTAAAGCTGTGGTATATAACAAGGTGCAGTGGCTCATGCCTGTAATTCTAGCACTCTGCACGGCTGAGGTGGGGAGTATTATTTGAGGCCAGGAGTTCAAGATCAGCCTGAGCAAAAGCAAGACCCTATCTCTATAAAAAATAGAAAAATCAGCCAGGTGGGGGGCATCTGCCTCTAGTCCCAGCTACTCAGGAGGCTGAGGCAGGAGGATTGCTTGAGCCCAGGAGTTTGAGGTTACAGTGAGCTAGGATGATGTCATTGCACTCTAGCCAGGGTGACAGAGCCAAACCCTGTCTCAAGAAAAAAAAGCTGTGATATCTCATTTATTCCTTAGTGCAATTAAGTTTCAAGGCCTTTTTGAAAACTGGTTTTGTTAGGGAAGAGGATGAGAGCCTTGGGCATCTGAGAGGACATGAAGAACAGGTTCCATATAGTAGGAACTCAAGTAAAAATAGTTGTGCTGATGGCATGCTGGAGACAATTTGTACTTGAGATCCAACTATACATGAATCTTCCCAATTTTGAGTTCAATGACATTAAGTTGGCACCTTGAAATTGGCCATAGTGGGAGTATTATATCACTGACATTGGAAAATACCACAAATCAGGGCCTTGTTTTTCTCCCTGGAGAGAAAGTTACCAGCCCACCACTGGTCTAGCAACATGAGACTGAGGACAGGAAAAATAACATTCAAAGGCTCTCAATTTAGTGGGTTTTGTTTGTTTGTTTGTTTTAAAGTGGTGGTAGGTGATGAAAAAGCTGTGGATATAAATGACTTTTTGATTTTGTTATTCTATTCACAGTAGGAGCCAAATCGTCCAGAGTTAGGGAATGTTATTAAAGACTAATTTAACAATAAAATGAATTTGAGGTCTATGACCTTAATTCTTCTGGGATGGGAGTTTGTTTCATATGTTTATTAATTTTATTAAGAGAGAAGTGTTTGGAGGCTGCTGTCATTCTCTCATCCCTGCTTTGCATTGCTTTTTTCAAAACAACTTGCTAGGCTAATTATTATATTAATATATAGCCATAATGACATATTGTGTGAAAATGACTCATGAGTCTCCACTAAAATGTAATGAAGACAGAGACGATAATCAATTTAAACATGTAAAATGTGCATTCTCAGCTTTGCTTGAATAAAATAAGCAGAAATATTCCTTTAATAATGGGAATGTTTCCTCTTCCAGTATATTCCCTTTCAAATGTGCTTACATTCTCATTTAAAACCAAGTGAACTGGCTACTTTTCCATTAACCTAGTTTTCTAAGCCACAAACTTGTTTCTCATATTTTACTTCTATGTTATATTCCCCCCACACACAAAAATGGGCTGAAGAAGCAATTAGAAGTGCTAGCCACTTAATTTCCATTCTAATTTAGGATCCTACATCTTTTCCAAAGGAATCGATTGAAATCCAATAATTCCAGCTCTGTTCTCAGAATGCATCACCAAGAGAAGATAGGGCTATCTCCAAAAAAGAAAAATAAATAAATAAATATATAAACTTAAAAGAAATAAAAACAAAGGAAAAAAGACAAGGGAAATGAATAATAAGAAAAATGAGCCTTAAAGCAACACAAAAAGCCATGTACCTGCTCAATCCAAAAAGCAAAGCTCAGTCCAAAAAGCAGTAACCTGATAACCAGTCTAGCTACAAATATTCAATTAGCAGCTAAGAATTTGGGCTCTACATTATTTGCCCTTGTGCTTTTTGGACTCATGAGAGTCTATAATAAGCAGGGTTGTACGTACAGCCTAAACACATTAAGTGAACAAATAACATTAATTGGCTTTGGTATGCTGACACATGTAGGGCAGTCCATACTTACTTTCTGAAGAGGTAGTTCTTGATGATCAAATTTAGACTTAGTCTGCAAGTTTAAAGTCATGCTTCTGCCTGCATGCATTGCTGAAATACCTCCATAGGGCAGCATGCCAAGGTTAACTGTGTTGTGTTTGTAAGCAGCATTCTGAGTAGAGGAAATAATCATGTGACAGGGTGTGAACACATGCTCAACAAACTGATTATTACATGAACATGTTTAAATTTATAACATTTAACTTTAAGCAGGCAAACAGTAACTTTCTTTTTTAAACATGCACTTGATCAGACAGAAGCATACAGTAAACAGTGTTAGTTATGCACATAATGAGTACTGTCCAAAACTACAGAAAAGACAAAAAGCAAAGAAGATACATTCTGTTTTACATTTGCTGCTAACTCAAAGTTATAAAATCTATCTTTTATTTATCATGATTATAGTGACTTTGGACAAGTATTGTTCATCTTTAGTAGTCCATTAATTTAAAAAATTAAAACAGTGAGATTTTAAATTTTACCAGCTGCAAATCTCATGGTCTCTTTCACATTGTGAGATCATCACATAGGAAAGACAAATATTAGCTTCTAATTCTGTCTTAGGCTAATGCATAGCAATGTTAAAGCCAAAATCAGTCTCCTTTATTGCTTAGTCTATAGGCATAATTACAGCAACTCAGAAAAACAGCTGGTCAAAAAAAGAAAAAAAACACATTCAATCTGATCATTGGCTCAATTGAATTTACTTATTAATTCAGTTAAACAAATCAAATAAGTTATATGTGGATCCAAATTTTATAAATTTTTTGGTTCTTAGAAATTACATTTTAAACTAAAGAAATTTCATAATGACACTAAAGCAATTATATTTGTTGAATTATTAATGCTGTTTGTCTAATATGCCTAAATACCTATAGAACACTCTGATGATATTTGCATTGTGGCTAACTTTCAATGGGTGTATCTAAAATTATTCTAAGTGACTGATAGATAATTTTTTTCTATAGAACTTTATTTAAAATGTAAAACATTTTAGGTGCCCTATCAACAAATTGCTTCCACCGGTATAATCTCCACCTTCAACCTACAATGGAAATGAAAGCATTGACAGAATTTGGCCTTTACTTTAAGTGAATCTCTTATTAATATTTTCGGAAAAAAAAATTACAAAAGTTAACTTAGTATACTATTTCTTAACTGAACATTACTGAACGTTAATTCTGAGGGTGTTATTATCAAAGTAATGATTTTTAGTATCAATGTTTCATTGAGGTCAACTGAAAGAGTATTATACTCCTGATGGTGTGCTTGCCTACCAGTCATATTTATTATGGATTCATGATTATTTCATACATAGATTTTTCATTGTCACCATGCCAAAATTGAAAAGGACACTGAATCTAGCATGTAGATAATTCCTTAAGGTTTAAAATTACTCCAGTCTAGTACTCTCTCAGCTCCTATAGAATAGAAGCAGTCTCAGATATATGGATTCACGTTTTCCATTCTCTGTCACAGTGAGGCTCTGTAGTGGAACCATGAGCCTGGCAGTTAAACTAAAGTAGAAAACAAGTCTCTTTCATCTAGGCTTGTACTTGGAGCTGCCTCTCCAAGGTCAGCACTGAGATCTTTTGCCAACATCATGTTGGACTGTTAAGCTTATACAAGGTCCAGGTCTCTAGGCAGTTGTCTTTTATGTGGAATGGGCAAAGATCTTGTAATTTCTAGTGAAACTGTTTTATTTTCAGGGTTCAAATGGTTCAACTAAATTTCACTTAAATTTTACTGGAAACAAAGCACACCATGTCTCTGGTGCAGTCTGACTTTGGACAGAATGCTGAGTAGCACAGCTATATCAAAACCAGTTTTACATAATAAATCTGTGCTTTAGTATCCAGAATTCATTTTGCTGGGTAGCTGGGAAGTTTTAAGTAAAGTACAGCCTGAACAGCTCAGTAACTCAGTTGAAAGAGGCAAAGAAATGTTACTTGGAGAAAACAAGAGGAAGAGCTTCCAGGATCTGATGGCTTAAAGTGATACTCTAAGGTAATTTAATTTCTTGGAATTAAATGAGAAGCTATTGAATATACATTGAAATTGTTCTGAAAAGTGAAAGACAGACCCAGGGAATTATAAACAAACAGGGGATATGTGGAGACTAATTAAAAAGGAAGGTGTTGTCATAGCAATGGAAAATACACATGAATTCACTTTTAGTTATCTAGGACAGGCAGGGCCTCCAGACTTTCGCTGATTCAAATCTTCTTCCCCCAGCCCTATCTGCTTCCTTAAAATTCCTGCTGCATGAAGAGGCATTGCCTACTTTTTAGTGGTTCGGAACAAAGGAGAGGAACCATTTATCTGGGACACCAGTAAGGAAGTGATGGTACCGAATGCTTAGAATCTTTTCTTTTTCATGCTTTGTTTTCACTCATTCCTCTGTTGCCTCAAATTACTAGTCATGGTACATATGCTCTAAAAAGCTTCTTATAACCTTTCTTGTCTAGTTCATCTTACCCTGTTACGTATGGTCGTGTCTACACGAGGCCAGAGTTCCCAAACTGTACTGTATTATTTGGCCCCAAATATTTTCGCCCTCCAAGTTATCTGTCTACATGGAGGGTATAACTTGAGGTAAGGCATGGTGACAACCGACCAGGTGTCTCCCACTGACAGCCAGTCATGAGGCTTTGATGAGGCTCCCTTCAATGGGACTGAGCACACCTATTTGAAACAGACATTCTGATGAAATATTTTGCAAGGCAGAACCAATTTCCACATTGAGAAACTAACACCCACACCCACATTTATTAGTTCACTCTTTCCCTAAAAAATTGTTTTCTTGTCATGTAGACACGACCTACAAACAATATAATTATATATTTAAAAAGAGTAAACCTGAAAACACAAAATTCAGTATTAAAGAAATACATAATAAATGTAGTGGCCTGTGCTTTTAGCAGGACACCAAATAAAATAATAAAACTATTGAGTGAAACATTCTGATAGTATATTATTACCCAGATCCCCAATTTAGCATTCAAACCTAGAAACTGAGAACAAATGACCCCATTTTCACAAAAAGTATCTTTAAGAATCTAATGTCAATATAGCACAGACAAAGCCCTCTACATCAAAGCCGCAAAGGACACTGAAGGACGATGGTCAATTGGTAACAGTTCTAGAAAATGAAATGCCCGATTTCTCTTAGAGAGATTTGAACAGGCAACAAAATGTAATTCTAGGTTTTATATGCTATTTGTTTTTACTCTCCCCAATCCCTTACATTCCATGCTTCATTATGACTCAATTTTTAACTGAATTAGGATTAATTTCCTTTTTTTTTGCTGCAATATACATACTAATTTATACATTTGTAGTCTTCATAAAGACACCATCTATTTTTATTTTCTGTGGTATGATTTGAGTTTAAACATTTCCTTCTATATAAAAACCAACATTTTAAATGACAGAATTTTTATTAAATAAATTTATGTGTAGGAGGGATTTAATCTCTGCTGATTTTTCTGTTTCTTGCTGGGAAGATTATTGCTCATTAGAAGTAGTACGTTAGTAGTCCCATAGCAATAACTATGTGCAAATTTTATAAACAAATTAGGCCTGACTTTAATATAAGTGAGTCTGTTCAGAAAGGGGCAAAATACTCACTTTTTATAGATTCAATAAAAATCATACTCTTTAGGTCACTAGAGAATAGTTTTGTGTCCTAGAAGAGGCATTTTGCCTTAATGGCTAGAAAGCAATTGAAGCAGCATCCCATATAATAGAGTCAAATTCTTTCTTACTAACAGTATTTAGGCTAGATTCGATAAATAATTCACCTGCAGGTTACGGACTCTCAGAAAGCATTAAGCAATATCCACAAAAAGTTATTATGATTCATTTCCCCCACAATATAAAGATAAATAAAATACTGATCATCTACTCATTCATGTAGTTCATGCTTCACTACATGTGCTTAGAAATGCCAATAAAGTAACACTAAAGGCAGGAGAGATATTCTTACAGAGAAATGCCAGACATACCCTGTCTAACCTTCTAGCTTCTATATGTCTAAGCAGCTGTTGTCTCCAGTCTGCAGGCATTTTACCACAGCTCTCCTCTCCCTTCACAGGAGTAGGCCTTGTCTTTATATCACTGTTATCTGATGGCTTGTCACCATAGTTACCCAAGTTATAGTCAGACGGTATTTTTTCCAAAAGAGCTGCCATAGTAGGCCTAGCTGAAACTGGCCTGGTCTGGGAGGCACCGTAACTCTCTGTACTGTAGCTTCTTGCAGACAGTGGCCTCCTCTGGGTTAGGTTTTTAACTGGAAAACTTCCCGCCTGAGCTTTCACTTCTTGATATGAAGGGTGTTCATCTTCATACCTGCCATTCCTTTTCAGGAACTGGGACTCAGTCACTGAAACGCTGCTTTGGCGATCCAGCCCTCCCCTATACGGAGGTCTGCCGTACCTATCAGCCGGGGGCAGCTCATGCGGCTCACTGACCCTTCTAAACATGGCCATTTCTGTGGAGCTCACCAGGGAGTCGGCCCTTCTCAAGAAGCCTGCCCTTGCCCCTTGGCTTGCGTACTGGGCGTTCACCACAGCATCCTCATTCATAGACGGCTGCGAAAATGAAAACATTTGCTCCATTGGTGGGTATCCTCTGTACGCTCGAGGGCTAATCAAATCCTTGGCCATGTTTTTGCCGGGCTGCTGCACGTACTCCGAATTGTGTTGAAAAGGGGGTGGTATCCTCTTATCAGATTTCACTTCCACCATTCCTTGAGGATTGAAGCTTTGGTCAAACTGATAGACTTTTTTTGTCATAGATCCTTTTTGTTGTTGTGGCCCTTTACTACTTCCATAAGTGAGCATTTCATCATCCAGCATAGGGACGGACTGGCTTCGAGACATACTGGACATACCATGCTCTGGTGCCAACATTTTATCTGGTCGTTCGTGGCTTCCTAAGTGATCACTTCCAGCAGCATAGTTTTCTAATGGTATATTATAAACTTTGTATGTACCAATGTCAATCTCATCAATACTCTGTGACTTTTTGAATTTATTGGACTTTATATCTTTCATTAATGGGGAAAGCCTCTCTGTGCTTTTGCTAATTGAAATAACACCTTTAGAAGATTCTGGGCGGCAGTGGATTTGAGAAAAGACATTACTAAGACTCCTGTTGGGATTGGAATCATGATACTCCCATGGTACTCCTGGAGAAAAAGGACTAGGTATTTCAGTAGATTCTTTGATATGGTCTTTCCTTTCAGGCAAGGGGCTGGTAGTGGGGGTTGTCTCTAATTTGGAAGGAAAAGCAGTCCTGTCTTCAAAAGGACTAGGGGTTCTGGTCCAATTCTGCCAAGGATTGGAAGGAGGCACTTCTGTTTCTGGTGTGTGTCTGTGTGTAGACTGCTCAAGTTCCAGGGGAACACCAACAATCCTATCCTGCCTGATCAAAGGCCTGCGTCCATGAGAAGCTGTGCTTCTAGATTTCGAACCTAAGAGAGGATTATCGTTGGCATTCTCTGCTGTGGTTTCCTCAGCAACAAACCCTGTGTTGTCATAATGTGAGCCATCAGTCCAGTTGTCAGTGAAAGCATCACCCATTGGCAGCCTGTCAGGGCGCTGTGGTAGATTCCCTGGGGGAACAGCCTCCCGCTGGCTGAGTAATGGCTTTGCATCGAGAGGCTGTGGGAAAGATGGTGCCATCCTGTGAATGCAAAGGGAAGAAGAATTATGAAAACGAGGAAGAGTTGGGTCTTTGCCAGAAAGAGAGCAAGCAGCAAAGAAGGCCACTGTCCTTTAGCTGCTCATTCATCCTCACCTGACTTATGATCAAGATAGTGTTATTATTTCATGTTCAAAAGAAAGCCATCCGTTTACCCTCCTCTAACTTTTATTTCTTCCTACTAATAATCACCTTCTAGCATATAATTTACTTACCTATTATATGTATTGTATATTGTCTCATGTCCTCTGCTAGAATGTAAACTCACGAGAACAGAGATCTTTTTCTCTTCATGCCTAGAATAGTGCCTAGCACACAGTAGGCATTAAATACATATTTGCTGAAGGAATGAATGAATGACATACGTAGGTTTTCAGTAATGGCCCTGAAACCTGACTGATAATTATAATCATGTGATTCCTGGTACTTATCCCTGGGGATTCTGATTTTCCAAAATATTATTTGAGAGTACCTTTCCTACAAATGCTTGGTATATCTAATGAATCTAAATTGTCTTCAAATAACATTTACTTGAAGGCTAGGTCTTGAAAATACTAAATGACATTGTATACAGAGCACATTCAGGTATATTTCTCTAGAATGTAAGTTATATTATGACTTTAGGTTATTGGCATGTTTACACCACTGACCACAGTATTTCTAGCAGATGGTAATTTTTCTAAGTTTATTATAAACACACTAAAATTGAATGATATATACCTTTTGTTAATGATGGAAATACTTGTATGTGCTTCTGTTAATTTTAAAAAATGTACATTTAGAAAGTATTGTTTAAAAGTATCTAAATTAATCTCAGCTCATACAAAAATAATGAATTTATAAACTGAGAGAGTTAATATTTTTATCATGGGCATTGATGAATAGAAATAGTTATTCATGAATTACTAAAGATATGCCAATAGTGGCAATATTAGTAAAATATTAACTAAAGTTATTGATTACCTATAATTTGACAATTTTTATTTGCTTTTTGTAGTGTAAAAAAACCACAGCAATAAGTTACAAAAAATTAGAACTGGGTAAATACTATCTTATTGAGTCACTGTATTGTGCTCTGTGGTTTTTGTATTTTATCCATAATATTGGAATAATATAGAGTAGGAGGCATTTTGGAAAGATTAAGTACTTTTAAATACATTCTAACTTTTCTAGGTGGTGATAACATCCTAATGATGATGATGATAGCAATGATAATTTATTGAACATTTACTCTGTATCAGGCATATTAGTGCTTTCCTGGCATCTTTTTTGGATGGCAAAATTTCCACATGTTTCATCAAAAAGTGTTGGGCAAACACAATTTTTGATTTTTAAAAGTTGTTGTTCTATCATCTCATCCTGTTAATCTACCATGTCTCCCTCTGGAGACATGCAGGTCTCCAGACTGGCATCACCTGTAGGATGGATTCATCTGTACTTGAAAGTCCCGAGTGAACTACATTTGCTTACCTGCCTCTTCTGTCTTCTATGCCACTCATAGAATTGTGCCGAATACAATTCCAAAATTAAGAAGATTCCATTTTTTTAAAAAGTTGCTGAAAATAAGCATTTGGGAACAAAAAAGAGGGGATTCTAAACACACCTGTTACCCCACAAAGAATTATGTACTGCATCTTTAGCTGTTGTCTGCAAGGACCCCACTTTAACCCGGGTGTTAGAGGATCCTGAAGAGGCCTGGGAAGGCGAGTAGTCTGAGTAAGTGCCTGAGGAAACACTGTTATTCAGACAGTGAGTTTTGTCAACTTCAGACTCATCAGTTGATTCTGAAATTTAAAGGGCAAAAACATTACAAGGCTATGAACATTGACAATTACAGACACAGAAGAGCAAGTATGAAAAACAGATACCATACCGATTAATGTTAGAGATGTATGTTTGTAAAATATTTTTATAGACTATGGTGTATCATAATGTACAACTGGTGATTCATCATGCACATGCATTTGCGGCATATTTCCCACATCAGGGTCATAATGTTACCTTTTTTGTCCTTCCCTAGCAGAACAAGTTTGGGTGGATACAGAGGGGTCTCAGCTAATGAAGGGTGAAGTTCCCCAATCCTCATTTCATTAGCTGGATGAACAAAAGAATCCTGAGAGATATAATAATATAGGACAAGGAAAGTAAACATTTAAACAATGGTTAACCAAGATGGCAATATCTTTATTTGGCTCAGATTCAAAGATGTGGCTCTAGAATTTAATGCACTGTGGACCACTGGGAAAAATGAACCATATGCAACTCTGAGTTAACAAAAAATATTTTTTTTTTCCTAATTTAAGTGAGGCCACTTATTCATCAGATGATTTTTTTTTTTTTTTTTTTTTTTTGTATATTGCTCATATGCCTGACACTGTGCAAAGAACTGTGGAGGAGGTTCCAAAGAAAGACAAAATGTGGCCTGTGCCCTTTGGGAGTTTACAATCTAATTGGGAAGATGAGACATAACTCACTGTAATACCAGCCAATTATGATAAGCCATATATGAGTAGTATGATGCATACATATATATGATATATACACATGTAAGAATTTAAAGAGTGAACTCTCTAAGAGTTTTAAAAGGAAAGTATATCACTGACCAATTAGATTTTTTTTCTTTTGGCATTCCTAGCCACATTAATGCAATGATGGGTCCTATAAATCCTGCTCTTTCCCCACTCTCCCTCTTAATTTCTACTGTTTCCCAAGTAATCATCTCAGCAATTTCTCTAGTTCTAACATGCCTCTTCCTAAGGCTTCTAGTTTTCTCACGACCAATCTAGCCTGCTAAATCTTCATTCTATATCCATTCATTGAATGTAATGAGCAACACTGGTATAAAACTATAACTTCATGACTAATAAAAACATTAAAAAACCATGAGTTTTGATCTTCTATAATTCATATTATCATTTCCAGTAACCAGGTAGTGAGAGCATTAGGGAAGGCAATACCAAATTTTCACTTTCTTCTACATAAAAAAATGCCTTATCTATGCCTATAAGTAAGTAGTGATATAAATTTATGCATAGTAAGTACCTTTATGTCTTTGTCTTAAACTTTAGATTAATTTTAATTCAGAGAAGAATTTTCATTTATTTTTAAGTTTTTAGTACTTATTTTTTTTAGAGACAGTCTTGCTCTGTCACCAAGGCTGGATTGTAGTGCAGCAATCATAGCTCACTGCAACCTTGAACTCCTGAACTCAAGCAATCCTCCCCCCTCAGCCTCCCAAGGTACACTAGGTTACAGGTATGAGCCACTGCACCTGGCCTTAGTTTTTAATTCCTTATTATCTTGTTAGTTTGGGACATTAATATGACACATTTAGAAATATTTTATTAAATCAGAGAAAATATATTTGAAGACAAAATATAAATTTAAAAAGTCTTGCCTTATAACTAATTGATTGATATAGTAAACAGACAGAAATTCTTACTACAAATTTAATATATTGCCAAGGACCCCCCCAGTGACAGGCTTAGGTCTTTGGGTATTGCAGAGAAACATGTTCCTTTCTTTAACTCTTAGCTTAAATTCTAACCTTGAGGATTATTTTGGTTAGATTTGTATGGAAATATTTGCCCGTGAAAAACCTGATACTTGTTAATTTTTTTAAAGAAATTTTAATAGAAGAAAATTGAAATATTATGTAGCTCTAGCCCAACTTTTTTGGTTTCTAGAGATGGGTTCTGAGACTGAGCTCAGGCCTAGGCTCACACAGATATTTAGACGAAGATCCATCACTGGAGCAGGATTTTCTTGGGTTCTATTCAAGTGATCTTCCTTTATATATATTATGCTGCCTCTTGGTCAGCTTAGCCGTGAGCACGCAAAGGACTTAAAATGAAATATCAGATTTGAAGAGGGATAGACAAGAGACAGGGATTGATGAAAATTCTGTAGCTGAAGAGGGAAATCTGTGTTTTCATGGATTTTGAAAATCATTTCAAAGGTTTAGCATAAGAAATGTACAATAAAGTTTTGAGGTGACAGAATAGAGAATAAAAACATTTACATACCTTTGGAGAAATTTCTAAGAAGATGTGAATTTGCAAAATAGTACCATGAAAGGCATAAAATGTGTTGACTTGTCAAAAAAAATTTCAGTTATAAGGTGTCATATTTCCATTCTATTTCTGTTTCTTTTTTTAATCATTTATTAATCAGGTTACCTTGGGCAACTCAGTGTACCTCTCTGGACCTTATTCAATTCATCATTAAAATAAAGGTAACAAATAATAGGAATTAGTGTTAATTCCTATTTAGTACTAATATTCTATGACTCTAAAGGTAATTTATTTGTTGAAATAATAATTTTAAAAGGAAATACTCTTATTACACCTAATTATAAGCATAGGACTTTTGTTTTATTTAAAAACAAAAATAAAATAGAAACACAAAAAAGCAAACCAAATAGTTGTACAAGTGCAGAATGTTAATATAGTCTAATTTTTCTCCCTTATTTCCTACATAGTCAGTATTCAAGTCATCTTATTTGCATTGATCAAATTTTCAAACTTGTATCCCAAAATTGTGACCGGAACTCTGCATGGTAGCCAGGGTATGACTCAGGTTCAAGTTTCTGATCCTGTTCAAGAATTTCTATTGTCAATCAAAAAGAGCCTTAGTGACCAGAAAGTGTATGATTACCAGCTTGCATTTCATCCCTAGAGTTCTGTGGCCCTCCACCTAAAGAGATGACACTACTGAAGCAAGAATGATGAATTTGCACTGATCCAGGTAGATTCTCTTATCTTTATGAGCAAAGTGATGATGATGATGATGACGACAATGATGATAATAGCCATCACTTAAGGAGCATCCATTGTGCTAAACACTTTATCTGTATTGTCCCTGTTAATTATTCCAAATATAACATCAGTTTTTATAATTATTATTTTAAAATAATTATTATAATTTTTGTTTTACAAATAATGAAATGGAGGCTCAGACAGGTAAAGTCATAATTCTAATTCACAAACTTAATAAGTGATAGAGCCTGGATTTGAACTGGGATCTGTCCTGCTCAAAGATTTTCTCTGTGATACCGTGTACACCATATTGTCTATCCTAAGTAAAGCTCATTTCTCAAATGGGCTTCACAGAACAAAGTTAACTATCCAACAAAGTAAATTAGTCATTGACTTTGTCTCCATAAATTCTCTTATAGAGGCTCGAGGAATTGAGTTTCTGTTGGAAAAGTGGGTGAAATTTTGGGGACTACTTCTATGGGTGAAGGCAGTGGAAGTTACTGGTAGAGAATCAGATATGGTGGTGATCCCATTGTAAGCACATTGAACCATATTTCTTTCTGGTGCAGAGACAGAAGTGAAGGAGAAAGAAAAGGTAAAATTTTCTTCTATACCCCTCGGCCTTTCCACTGTTCAAATGACATCTTGGCTGCTGCTGCCAAAGAGAAAGGGAGCCTAAGGTAGAAGTTAAAGGAAAGGAAAAAAAGCTTATTTCTGAGCTTTTGAGAGTCCAGCCTAGTAATAAAGGCAATTTAAGGAAATTTTTAAGGGCAACTGACAATTCTCTATTACCAGGAGAAAGATATTGTCCCTCTATCGAGAAAGATAAGGCTGAGTCTCCTAACCAAAAGAAAAGTGTAGAACAGTTTTGAAAGTGGTGGTGGACATGGTGAATAGGTGTCCCTTTAGTGACCGCAGAAGGATTAAAGAAGAACGGGGCAGGAAGTGGCACATCATTCCCTTGAGGAAGGGGAGCAAATTATCATTTATTATTATCAATACATGATAATTTCCTCTGTGCCAAGAACTGTGCTTGGAGCTATTTATAAATACCTATTATTATCTGTTGTCATCTCCACAAAAACTTTGAAAGGGTGTTATTATCTTTTTTTTTTTTTAAGATAAAGAAGCCAAGGCTCAGAAAGGTTTTAGTGACTCAACTTGTCAAGGTCACATAATTGGTAATGAGGTAGAGCCAAGATTTCAATTCACATCTGGTAGACTTAAAAGCCCTTTACCTTGGTTCCCAAACTGTGCTCTTAGGCACCCATGGGTGATGTTGCAATTCACAGGGACACTATGGGTTATAATAAATGTTCAAGGGAAACAAAGCAATATTTGACATCAGTCAGATACTGTGCAAATTGACAGCTTGAAGTAGCTCTCAGTTTCAACATTAGATTGAACATTGCTTTTGAAGACAATCTTGGCGAAGCTGGATTTTCGGTGGTTGCTGTGATCAAAAAGCAAGTGCCACTTGAAAATTAAGGCAAAACATAACTTAAAGCTGTGGTTTTTCACTATAATTCCTAGGTTTGAGAAGGTAAGTAGTGTCCAATAGGTGCATATATCTCATTAATATTTTGGTTTTGGTTATCTGGGAATGAAATAAAAATATTATTTTCTCTTTCAATTTACATGCATTGGTTTTTCAAATGACCACTAAGTAGGGCACAGATATTTAAGTTATTTGGGTCTAACTACTTAAATGGAACTACTAGGTATTTCTTTTGGTCTAGCGTCACTGTAACAAAATTACTGAGACAGTAAGGGCATTTGTATACCAGGAGTTTAGTCAGCACACAAGTGATAAAGTGTGGATAGGTAAGGCAGGCAATAATCAATTAATCATTAATTGAACAAAAAACTCAGAAATTGTCCTTGGCTTCAATCAATTTTTTTTAATTGGATGAAGAGACAGACATGTTACCAGAGTTATAATCCTAGACTCTTATCAATCATTCACTTATTCACAAATAAGTGCTCCTCCTCTTACTAGGTGCTGTGATAGACTCTGGGAACACAATGAAGGACAAGATAGAAATGGCTCCTGCCCCCACAGTCTGATGTCAATAAACAAAGTAATCAAGAATGTTTTTGTTATATTTTAGTGCAAATAAATAGGGTGATGTGACTAAGAAAGTCAGAGGGTGCGACTGATCATGGTGATAAGGGAAGACCTCCTTGAGATGACCTTCAAGCTGAAACTTGAAGGATGAGGAAGTGCTAGCCACAGAAAGAGAGCTGGGAAAAGGCAAACGCAAACTCCACAAGATATCATAAAGAAAAAAGGGAGAATAGGGGGTCCGCCATCTCTCCTTGTTCTGTTGTTCTTACAGCTCTCCAGCCCTGTTTTTTGTCTAGCTTAGCATATGTTAAAGCTCTTGTCATATGGCTGGCAAATAGAAAGAGAGATATAAATGTTGATTTACCTTTCCTTTCTCCCCTTACTCATTGCATTTGTAATCTAGTTACCTTGTTTTTTCTTTCTGTTTTCCACTTCTGGTCCTGCCTACCTCTGTTCTTAGTTTTTTTCTTGGTTGTCCTTATTTAATCACATAGATAAATATATCACGCAGTGTGTAATACCCTTTTCCACATTCTTGGCAGTGATAACTAAATAATAATGACTCAAAAATAGCATACAAGTACAAAATATATAACAAATGCTCAGTACATTGATCAGTTAGATGCTTTGTTATCTGTATCTATTAAATCTGACATTGAAGAAATGGAGTATGACTCTTAATTTGGCTGCAGTCAATTTGAGACAGAAGGATGATACAGAAAGCAACAGCTTCTCCATGCTCTAGGCTGGTTAAAAGTTAGGGAAGGAAGATCTAGAATCTCAATTTTAAGCAAAATATTGAAATTAGCAGTGAAATTTCTATTTAAAAGGAAAAGGCCAGTATAAGAAAAAAATTAAAAAGGGGGGTGGGAAAGTCACATAAATAAATTTAAACCTGAAAGTTGAACTTTAATCTTAGCCTTATTTAGTATGGCTACCTTAGTTAATTAAGAAGCTTAGATTTTGTGTAGTTAATAAGAAGTCACTGTAGTGTTTTTAAGGAGGGCAAGGATGTGATTAGATTTGCATTTTAGAAAGATCATTGACAAGGCAATGAAGAGGCTGGGGACAAGGTAAGCCAAGAAAGGCAGTTGGTAATGCAGGACAGAGTTGAGGACCTGAGGTGGGAGGGAGAGAGGGAGAGAGAGAGAGAGAGAGGGAGAGGGAAGGAGAGAAAAGGAGAGGGAGGGAGAGAGGGAGAGGGAGAGAGGGAGAGAGAGAGAAAACACTTAGGTAAAAATGTATGGGCTTTGGTAATTATTTGAAAGAGACAGGAAGTGGAGAGAGAGAAGGAAAGAAATCAGGATACCTTTCAAATTTCTAGCTTGAATGCAATGGTAGATAATGGTGCCAGCTGAGATCAAGATCAATAATACAGGAGCAGAAGCAAGTTTGGGGAGGAAACATTAAATTTAATTTTGGATATGTTAAGCTTGAAGTGCTTGTGGGACAATTTTAAGATTTATTTTCTTTACTGTAGGGTTATTATTACCCAATTCAAGACCAAAGCCATCTATCTTTTCCCTGCCTCACCTATCCCATCCCTGCATTAAGAAATCTTAGGATGTTCTTATTTTATATTATAGCAAAATTATCCAGTTTATAAGTTTTCATGACTGCATAGCTATTTTGATGTTAAACTGTGTGATACATGAGATTTGAATAAAAAGTATATAAGTGTGTATTTAATGTGTGCCTGCTAAATGTTGGTTTTCTTCCTTTTTATATTTTGAATATATTTGCAATATATGCAATATTTGCATATATTTGCAATATATTTTATGGTTTTGCAATATCTTAGAGGTAAAGAAAAGCCTGTTGTTTTGCTATAATATATGTGTAATATTTTGGAAAGGAGAAAGTACAATCATACTGATTTATAAGCAAAAAGCTAAAACAATGAAAATAAATACTTAAGAAAACATCTTCCTTAGAAATACAGCTGTATTTCCCTCTTTTGGGCAGGCTGGTTGCTCTGCTGGCAAATGTGCACACTGTCCTTGTTTTTGCTCAAGATATTCCCTTGGCCTGGAATGCCTTTCTCCTTTTTTCACTTTAAAAGAATCATTCAGTCTTTAATATGCAGTCTAACCTTAACTGAGAGTATTATATTCTCTATCACACAACCAACCATGAGATCATATTTTATATCTAATCACTTCATGTGTGTTATGTGTATCTGACTAGGCTTTAAATTAACTGGGGATTATGGACCCATTTTATATTTCTTTTCTCTCTCTCACAGTGTTTAGCACAGTGTTACATATATAGTTGGTATTTAATAAATGCAACAAATTGATGCTATGAAATGCAGATTTGTAAAAGAGTTTTGCCAGTCTAGATTTTTGAGTAGTTATGGGAATTTCTAGATGTACTTATACCAGTTATGTCCTAATGAAGATAAAAAGATGATAACCAAATTAGCTGAAGAGTTGATGAGAGAGATAGTAGAGGTGGCATAAATGTAGTTGAATTCTTTTCAGACCACATAAATCAATAAGGATGAATTTCTAACTCATTCTAAAATATAGGGACTAAGCTTCACATGACTAGATTCCATAAACCTGAATTTCAAAGTTATCTTCCCTTTTTGTTGTTAACAGTGGTGTTTCCTATAAAGGTTGCAACCCAAACATAAAAACATTAAAAAAAATTGTGCTCTAAATGTGAGTAGGAATTTTATGAGATTTGCAGAATAAAAAATCTTTGGTTAGTCTTTTCTAATGACTGATACAATCAAAATTTGGGGTAGCCAAAATAACACTGCACTCCCTGGCTAGGCCTGGCTGGATGACAACTATTCATTCTGTGTGTATTGGAACTTTTGGGACTGTATTCATGATTTTAGGCCGAGGGCATCATTTATCTGTGATTTATTAAATGCAATCCTCATAGTTAGAAAGAGTAGAGAGATCATTTATATTTTTGGAAAAAAATGCATTTATCAGGGAAGAGCTATTCAGTTAAAAAAAACCCATATTATTTAAAATTCCAAAAAATCCAAACCACACTGGCAATTACCAATAACCTTCAAATACCTCCACTGTAATCTCCTTTGGGGCCACCGGCCACTTGTGTTCATATTTTTCTTTCACAGTTTGCTCCGTGTTAGCAGTTGGGTTTGAATTCTCAATACGCACTCCATGGCTTGGCTTACCCACCAGATTTTGAACAGATTTTACCATATTCTTTAAATCCTCTGGGTAAGGAGTTGGATATCGTTTTAGGTTTATTTCAACCTAGAAGTTTATAAAAAGAAATTTACATAAAAATAACTTCAGCAAGCATGTTCACAAAACTCCCCCATTTCATGTGCAGTAGCATAACCAAATGCAATACAGTGAGTGTTGAGCCGGCTGAGAAAATGCTACAGAGTAGAACACATAGTGTTCTCACATTCGGCCTCACAGGACTTCTCCCTACTCCTTCCCACCTTTCTAGATTATAAACAACTTTTGGATTATAGCCTATCTTTAGACCTACCCTGTAGATGGTGGTCAAACACCTACGTGACTGGTAATCTCTGATAAATTTAATCATTTAATTTACTATCAGCTGCTTTCATACTTTAGACACTGTTCCCTTTCCTATCTTAATTATTTGTAAGTAATAATTTTGATGTTAAGAATATTTTCAGAGTACCAATGAAGGTGATGGGAGGAGACCCCAAGAGATTTACAAGTAGAGCTGTGTATTAAAAAATGCAGAGTTGAAAATATCTGCTGCCCAAGCAGACATTAACTTTATGTTACTTAGCATGTTACATCAAAAGATCGGATAGTTAATTCTTGTAAAAATCTAAGAAAAAAAAATGCTTCAGAGTGGTTTTTATACTTAGTTTTTACCCTAAGAAAATAACCTTCTTCTTGGGTAATATCTTACAATAAAGAGGAATAAAAAATTGAGACCATTTTTTAAAGATATTTTAGGCAAACATGTAAATTTTGGCTTTTATTTATTCAGCTATTTATTTCCATTCTTGAATTCATTTTGGGGGTACCAACCTGATTTTTGGGAATACATATTCATTACTTCTCTTAGCACTGAATTTAATGAGAGAAAATATGAGACATTCCATATAGAACATCCCACATCAGAGTGTTTATTATATCTAAAATAGAATAAATATGAGTTGTCCATGCTGATTCAAAGGGAGTGGAGAAAAAATAAGGGGCAGATTTAGTTGACCTCGCTTGTTCCAAAAATTGTGTCTTGTTGCATCTGAGTAGAACCAACTTTGCAAAATGGAATGGTTTATGTGATTGTGGTGAGTATGCGTCTGTGGAAAGTGTGTGTGGGGGAGGGGAGGTGGAGGAGAGAAGGTGGAAGAGAAGCTGAAGGAGGAAGAGGAAGAGTGGGAAAAGAGAACAGGAAAAAGAGGGAGGGGCACATACATACTCACCCCCGCACACCTATGTAACTCATGGAATGTAAGGAGCTATGATGGTGGTACAGATCTGAAGATTATGAATACAAATTCAAACACTTTTGCTCATCTGCAGTTTTAGCAAATCCACCAACTTTGTTATTTTTTCTAGTATATTTGTCTTCCTAGTGGCTCATCAAATACTGGGACTAGACTCTACTAGATGATTTTTAACATTCCTTTCAATACTAAAAGTATAAAATTATTTTTTCAATACATATTTGGAAAATAGATGAAAAGCCAGATAATTTTGTTAAGGTAAATATTGCCTAACTGTAGTTTAATCTCAAATAAGCACGAAATTGGTAACATATAGAAATAAAGCTATAAAAATATAACCCAAGACAAAGTTAGATTTGATACAAAAAAACTGTAAGTTATTAGAGTAGAATATAAATACATCCTAGAGTACTTAAGTTTATAATGCATTCTTAACTAAATATAAAAAGAATGAAATCCATGCTTGACAAATTTCATTGGGATTCATCATTCTTGGATCATCTGTTTAAATTGGTATTAGAAATGTTAAACACAAATTAAGTCTAATTTTTAAATTATGTTGTTGTACTTGTTCAAAAAAACTACATTTTTTAGAAAGTAAATGGTAGAATGGTTATAACTATCATCCCAATTAAGAACATATTTTGATTTTTAATAACCAGTGGTATATGAATGAAAAATAAGTGCAAATAGCATTAAATTAAAATTTTATGTAACTTAAAAAATCCTCAACACTAAAATTATACTTATAAATTGAATGGAAGGCAAAAATATGTGTTATTCCTTAATTGAGTTAAATATTTAATTGAATAATGTAATCTACTTTTGTAGATGCTATGTCCCATTTGACACAATTAGATAATTATTTACTTATGGCCATGGTACCAATATTTTCTGGTTATTTTAAAAAGAAGTAAATGTGATATTTCAGTTACATTACCAGAATATGTTTGAATATTTTATTTCTGTGACAATATTTAAATCTAGAAACAGATTTAAGATGCAGTTAAAGAAGCTTAAGTTATACACCTCTTCTAAAGTCTTGTGAGAGGTTTATTAAGGTATTACATGGCATTTCATATTCCTTTCCAAAAAAGTCCCCTCCCTGAATTGTGGAAGCTTCAGGTCTCATAAAGCTTAGATTTGTTTCACTTAGGAAATAAGTTTCTTGCTTCCTGCTTACTAGTCTACTAGTAAAACTTACTGGACTTGGAGTCAGAAGATTTAAATTTAAGCCACAAGTGTACTTCCAACTAGCTACCAGCCACTAATCCTTCTGTCATTTCTATTCATATAATATGGTAATGATGTCTTTCCCATGTACTTGGGTTAATCTAGAGCTAAAATGAGAAAAATATGAAGGTTGTTCCTTTGAAAATTTATAAGTACTATGCAGAGATTAGGTACTATTTCTAATATCAGGTTTTACTTATATATTTTTAAAGTCTAGATTCCTTAGGTAATCCAGATTACTGTGTATGCGTCTAGCCATAGTACCTGTAACTTGTCTGTAGCTTTTTTTCAGATTATATACAGCGACATAAGTTATCATTTATTCAGTATCTACCATGTGCCAGGTACCATGCTCAATATTTTATAGGGATACTTAATGTATTATTAATTATTTATATAATAAACAAAAATAGATATTTTATTTATATAATAAACAAAAATAGGTACTATGGACTTAAATATAAATTCATATTTATATACTAAATGATAAATGATTAATAAATTATTGTAGAATTTATCATTAATTTATAACTAAATCTCATTTAAATTTCACAACCCATTGCAACAGCTGTTCCCACTTTACAGAAAGAAAATTGGGGCCCAGACAGTGTCACTTGCCTAAGGTCATACAGCTAATAGGTGCAATGCCTAGATTCAAACTTAATGTCTCTTTTGACTTTAAGGCTTATGTTACACAAGTGTTACTTATCTCAGAGATATTCCTTGGCATGGGTGCAGCACATGTTTGTATAATATTTGAGGAGAAATACTATAGTTTAAAATATGAATTTTATTGAATTAAATAACAAAATAATTTCAATTTTTAAAAAATAAAGCTAAATAATGCAATATTTTATAATTTCTTTTAAAATTCTGTTTGTAAGCTCTATACAAGCATATTTTATGTCCTTTTACAGATTATTTTGCTTTCCTACTTTTCAAGTCATGTATGCACTGCATCAGAAATGAATAAATATGATCATAAACCCAGTTATGCTAATAGCTCAGTAATACCCAAATACAAAAGCAGTTTCTTTATATTTCTAAATATATAGGCTATAAATAGTCCCTTATTTTTACTGGGATTAAAAAAGATATAAAATCATTTATTATAAACATAGGTGGGAAAATCCATCAATTATATTCTTGCAAAGGTATTATGTTTATCACTCACTATAAAGTATTTGCTCATTTCACATATACATTTTATTAAAATGCAATATTTTTACTGAAATATTCTTTTAATTTTGGAAAACAAATGTTTCTCAACATTCTGTGTATCTCAGATCTAAATACAGTGCAGTAAATGCAAATAGCAGCTGTAAGATATTAGAGACCCCCAAAAACTTAGCAATGAAGAAAGAATTAATGATAATAGCTCGGGCATTCAGAAATGATATCTTGAATTCATACAGAACTATGTTTTTCATATAATATATTATATTCATATAATATATTATATTTCATATCATGATCAAATTCTAATTTGATTTGATTATAAATTCCAGTAAGAGAAATAATACTTAGTGCTTTGATCATTGATTGTTAATTATCTCATTCTAGGAATTAATTGGAATGGTTTACCAAAAAGGAAACTTATAGCAGATTCAGTTAGAAAAATGCATTCTCATCTTGCCTTATATTGCAGAAGGAATATAAGACACTGAATTAGAATATAGTCCATTACATGTGGGTAGGAAAGTTTACAAAAAATGTAGTGTTCTTTCATGTTCCATTAAGACATGATTCCTCCTTCCCCCTTTTCCTCTTATGAGACCTAATCCACTGAGATAAAGAAACCCTATTTGCTACAACTCTCAGCCCAATCTTCTCTTACAGGAATTCATTTATCTGTGGTCTTCAAATTAAAGGAAATTGATGCTGTTCAGCATATGTCTATCTTTGCGCTCAAAGTCCACTTTCAGCAAATCTCAATTTAAATCTCATGCTATTTCAAGAATTAAGTTTTGGCTATTTAATCTCTTCTAGAATTGACATTATAAAAAATGTGCATATGTGTGGAGGGGACAATTTAGATTGTATCAATAGTGTTGTCAAAATTCTGCCCGACTATTGGTATTCTCACACTTTAAAGAAAAAAATCTTTCAAAATACAAAAAAAAAAATGCAAATAAAAATGAAACACCCAACTCAAAACCAAAACCATGCCAGCTATCCCACCAATAGGCACCTCACAGTGATGTTCCCTCCCCTATGAATCAGTCCTCCCCACCCCATTGCCAATGTCAATAAACAAAAAATTAAATCGGGATCAAACACTGGCAATTTGAAGGCTCCTGTGTGATCAACATTTCTTCCCCAAATCATGCAGAACATACCCCATAAACCATTGTTCCAAGGTTGCCTGTACAAGGGGGGATTCTCCTACCTCAAACACCTAGGCCTACCTGTCTGCCACTTAGAGAGGGAAGAGTGGTGGATTGTGCTGCAACTGGCAATGGAGTACACATGCTCCTTTCCTGCTGGAGGCCAGTTATACAACCCCATGCCAGCTGTGGGTCATTCTGGGGGACGGGCATATCTTGGATCTGCTGATCACACCTGGCCCATGGTGTGCAGCAATCGCCAGACAGTCTGGCAGGTTGGAGAGTAATCCCACGCTGGCCCCTTTCCCAGGGGGCTTGGCAGGAGAGATCCTGTGGGAGAAGGAATCTCCATTTTCTGGGAGAAAGAGGAGCACTGTAGCAATACTTTCACTTTATCGTTTTTCTACTCTCGATTTTTTTTTTTATTTCACTCTGGGTAATACATTTAAAACAACCATGATAAAATTAGTTTTAAGTCCATGTAAGAAACCAGTATCAATATCATATGAAAGTGTCACAATTTCTCCACACAATGCCGCATTCATACTACACTATACACACTACAAGTAGGGCATTATACTCTAGTCCATTTGAAAGTTGATAGCATATGTCAATGGTTCCTTTTTAGATTTCATGTAAATTAAAGGTAAAATGGTGCTAAACTGAATGTACATGTAATGAACCAGAAAAGTATGATTAATTTAGTGTAAGATTACAATATATTCCATTCATCATATATCCATGATGATTTATTTAGAAGTTTGTTTGTGCTCTAATTTGTCCAATAGCCAACGGCATTGGAAATATTCAAATTAGTCAAAGTAGTTTGAGATTTTGGAAACACAAGTTGTTTTAGAAATATATAAAAAAACCAAATGTAAATAAACATAAAGAAAAAAAACTCTAAAGTATAATGAACCTACTCTGATTATAAACAAACCTGATCTTATCACACACAAACAGGGCTTCTAAATAACAGTTTGCATTTACTATATTTTATGTTTCCATTGACACATATACCAGAATATATTAAATGCACTCTTTTCTTCTTGGATTTTTTGAATATAAATTTTCAGGAAGAAGCATGCAGTTTTTGACAATCCAGTGAGATATAAAAATCAATAAGAGGTCTAGCATAGAATGCATCATCCACTGGTTCTGTATTTAACATATGAAATCCTTAAAAGAGGAACTGAAATGTTCTAATGGTTTGGGTTTTTTTGCTTTTAGTTTAGCATTATTTTTTCAAGGAATTCATAAGTTAAAAAAATGTCTATTTGGTTGTTAGATGTCACTAACCAACCATCCAGAAACATTTTTTACAAACCCAAATCTTTAACAAAAATTTTAATTTGCATTTGGGAATCCATTCTGGGTTCTCCATAACGATATAGGTAGGTCTTGTCAATAGAGCTCAATTATCTTGCCTAATTCTAGTAAGGTTTTATAGTGTACTGGCTTAAGTTTAGAAAATGTGGAAAGGAGAGGACAGAGAAGAACACATCACACAATCTAGATTTATTAATAGGATGTAAATATAATCATTTAGGTAATTAGTCACTAAGAGTGAGAGCTGTTAGTATCCATGGTGGAAAAAGTACACAGATAAAATTATAAAAAATAAATGAGAGATTCAAGATGTTGCCATGATAACATGAAACACAGATTTAAAAATTTAGTCTGTTCCTTGACTTAAACTAGTCACAATAAAGATTTTTCAAATATGATTAGACATTCTCACTTATAAGTAGAAGCTAAACCATGGTTATGCATGGCCATGCAGAGTGGAATAACAGACATTGGAGACTCCAACAGGTGGGAGGCTGGGAAGGCAGATGAGGGATGAAAAATCACCTATAGGGTATAGTATACACTGGGCAGTAGGTCCTATAAAGCCCAGACTTCACCACTGGACAATATATCCATGTAACAAAACTGTACTTGTACCCCCCTAAAGCTATAAAAATAAAATAAAAATATGCTGTGACGTAAAAAATATTTAAGGTGTTTTCCCTAAGGAACATCACCTGCCATTATGCACTCATCTTCTTTAAAAATGTGTCCTTACATTTAAGGAAACTCATAAATTCTCCTCAAATATCCCAGGGACACAGAACCTTTCAGCGATTTTAACGTCAATGTAACATATTAATCAATAGACTCTTCCATAAATGTGTATTTTGGACTTATACAGTCTGCATGATGCCTTGCTCAGTGATTAAAAGACACCCATTGCAGTGTGTCAAAGATGGAATAAGGTGCTTAGGTGAAGTCCATCACCCAGATTTTTTTTTACTTTCAGCTTGAATCTCTCTCATTCTGTAGGATGGGGTGGCATATCAAATTTGCTCATTCAGATTTGGGACATTAGTCTCATTCCGAAGCACACCAATGCTTCTACAACTATCAGACTGCTGTAATGAAAGGTACCACTATGAGACTGGAAGATGTATTTGACTTTCTAGCAGAGGTCACTTAACTTGTTCCCAAATTTATTTGAATAATAATAATGGACAAACAAAAATAATATGGAGAAGAAAGAAGAAACAAAAACTAAAAAGGTTCACCTTAACTTTCCCAGCATTTTCATCATCTTCTTTTTTGTCTTCAAATTCAAAGGCAACAGTCATGCGTTGTTGTCTCTGCTCTTCCCACAGTGTAGGATTAAAACTGTCACTGTCTGACTGGAAATCTATAGTTAAATTCCAAAAATATTATTTATTTTTTTAACATAGAGTGTTACTATTAGAACTTAATACACTATGCAAAAAATGATGGTAGATACTAAGAAAAAGAAAGACAGACACAAAGAACAAGAAAGGAAGGCAGAAACAAGGAAAGAAAGAAAGAGGAAAGAAGGAATAAAATTCTCTTGGTATTTAATACATTGCCTTTTGACATCTTAACTCAAATTCAGCTTTTCTAAGTACACATTAATTACATATTGGGATTGGGAAATTTTCTAGTGTAGGGAATGGGTTCTCCATAGGTTAACAATAATAATAGAGAGAGATGGACTATGTACTTTAAAGCATTATCTCTTTGAAACCTCATAATAGCATAATGGTACTATTAATATCATGCTTATTTTATTAATGAGCAAAGCATAACTGAGTTTTAAGAGACTTGCTCAAAGTTATGTAGCTTCTCTGTGGCTAATGCAGAATTCTGTTCCATGTCTGAATAGGGGCTATATTTGTAACCACAAAACCCTTTCAATATTTCTTTTCTTTTTTCTTTTTCTCTCTTTTTAGACAGGGTCTCACTCTGTTGCCCTGGTTCTGTTGCACCAGCTAGAGTGCAATGGCATCATCATAGCTCACTGCAACCTCAAACTCTTGGTCTCAAGCAATCCTTCTGCCTCAGCCTCTTGAGTAGCTGGGACTACACCTGCATGATACTACTCCTGGCTCATTTTAATATTTTTTGTAGAGATGAGGTCTTGCTCTTGTTCAGGCTGGTCTCAAATTCCTGACATCAAGTGATCTTCCCACTCAGCCTCCCAAAGTGCTAGGATTACAGTCATGATTCCCTCCCTCCCTCCCTCCCTCCCTCCCTTCCTTCCTTCCTTATTTCCTTTCTTCCTTCCTTCCTCCCTCTTCTTTTTTCCTTTTTCTTTCCTTCTAGATGGAGTCTTGCTTTATTGCACAGGCTGGAATGCAATGGCATAATCATAGCTCACTGCATAACATTGATTTTTCAGCAAACTGTCTAAGATTGCAACTTTTTGGGGTATGTGTGGGGGAGGCAGTGAAGGAGAGAAGCTTTATTTTTATGGTAGAGAATGAGGAAAATTTAGTCTTTAACATTAAGGTTTCAATTAGTTTAAATGTATCTCAAATTAACAGGGAAAATGTCTTATAAATCCTTAATTTACATGAAAATGTTGGCTAATGATAATATCTTCTTTGCACTATTATTGCAAAGATCACTTTAAAATGCAGTAAAAGTACTTAGTTTGGGCTAAATTCTTCAACAAAGGAGGGCTTTATCATATATTTCTTTGTTTGTTGAAAGGATTCTGAAAATTTATTACACTCCTGAGTGAAAAACCAAAGGGTGACTTGCTTGAAGTTCAAGAAAACTTTTCAATTACCAACTTTTCTTTACTCAAAAAAAAAAATACTCCACCTAGGCTATTCCTTAACATCCTACCTGACCTAACTAAACCTACCTCACACCCTGGGACAAATTACGGATTTAATCTGTGAGTTTAAATCTGAGAAATGACCAGTGAATATGAAACACTTTTCATTTTTCCTCACATCCGTGTAAAATTAAATATTTTGATAATCTAGGGCTACTAAAATGAAAATATAAGTAAAACTACATGAATAAAACCTAATCTTTACTTAAGACTTTTCTAATATGATATGTAAACGTGGTGGTTTTTCTTTCATAAATTCAAGAGATTAACAATAAAGTTAAGGTCTGAAAAATACATATCAAAATAATTTTTCCTTTTTCTACTTTTATAAGTGAAAATTTGAAAAAAATATTCTAAAATGACTCTAAATGGTTCACTTACATTTGGAATTCAAAGACTAAAGCCATTTACTGTAATTATCTTTGAAAATAAAAAACACGTAAGAAAATGGGTTCTTTTACAAGTTGTTCTCATTCAAGCAAATGGGGCAGATTTTATCTATGGCTGGATGAAAGTGGATTTACTCTTCCAAGAATTACTGTTACTCTACAACTGCAGAAAATGTCCATGTCGACCAGTGCTGGCTTGAACTAAGGAGCCTTTTCTAAGTTTCAAATATTAATAGTAAAGGGAAATCTTCTTTTAAAATTTTTATGAATAATGTGATCTTGGGATAGAAGATTTAATTATTCAAAAAGGTTTTAGTTTTTTTTTTTTAATATTCCAATAATAGTTTCTGAAATAGTTTAGGGAAACTCAACTTGAAAAAAAAAGACTGGTCATTATTGCAAGTCATCTTTTTATAGTTGACTCGGAACATGAGTCAAATATAATTTGAGTCCTGAAGTCATTGGACTAAATGTTTAAATTATGTTCATGCAATAAGTGAATACAGAAAATAAAGCAGCTTATTGAATCTTCCTTGGATCTAACTGCAGTTTCAGTTAGCTGGGTCCCACATGTGGTTAACTAGTCATGTGTCTTGCAATCCACAACGAGGAGTTGCTCCTAAAGGGCAACATTATTTTCGTGTGAAATACAAAGAGGAAGAGTTTTGTTTTCGAATCTTACTTGAAATAATATGGCATAGAAAATAAGACTTAGAGTAAATTTCCAAATGATATTTGTGTATTGTGTAATTATTTTTACAGGCTTGCCCATGAGCTAGTACTCCTGGCCAGAGATCAGAATAAAATTAGTGTTTTCTATCCATAATCATTAGGAGTAGAGAAGCAATTTCTTCTGACAATTTACCTTCATCACCACGAGGTTGCTGAGGAAACATGTAGTTAGTCAATACTCTTTGCTTTGTTTCTGGATGGGCTTCAGTTTGTAAAGGGATAAGGGCTTTGGACTGGAAGCAAAGAATAGATAAATTAGATTAATAAAATTGCAAATATGGAGAATATTTATTTTATATAAGATAACAGTCAATAGACTGGCCTCATACAGATGAATGAACAATTGAAAGAAAAGTGAAAAAAAAAAAGAAATAAATAAAAGTATAACATGAAATAAGACTATTGCTGAGGAATATTTTCAAATTTTAAGATATAATGAAGTTTTTTTCTTCTTCAGTATACTCTTCTACAAAACTTACCAAAACCTATTCAACTGAGCAATGTCAGTTTTAATCCTGAAGAGACCAAAATGTGTTAAATTATTTCAACTAAGTGAGCTTTTGATATGGTGCTATGTGCCTATTCATTTTCATGGACTGTTGCCCTAAAAAGACAAATGGAATTCACTATTAAATTCATGCTACATAAGATCATCCATGAATTTAATTAGGTTAAAAAAACATTCATTTATTTCTAACATATATATATATATATATATATATATATTATTTTATTTTGTTTTTTGAGACAGGTCTCACTCTGTTGTCTGGGCTAGAGTGCAGTGGCATCATCACAGCTTACTATAATCTCAAACTCCCAGGCTCAAGCCATTCTCCTGCCTCAGCCTTCCAAGAAGCTGGGACTATAGGTGTGTGGCAGCATGCTCAGCTGTTTTGTATTTTTTGTAGAGACAGGGTTTTGCTATGGTGCTCAGGCTGATTCTGATCTTGGCCTCAAGTGATACTCCTGCCTCAGCCTACCAAAGTGCTGGAATTACAGGTGTGAGCCACTGTACTCAGCCTTCTCAGAGATATTTTTATAATCAAAGATAGGATCCATATTACAGGTAAGCAACTGTACTTATATCTGATGTGTCACAATATATTTACTTATGGTCATATTTCATTCTCTTTTATCAATTTGATTTCAGAAATACTATTTTTGAAAGTTTTTTTTAGAACTCTGATATTATATGCCAGAAATATATTGGAAATGATCATATTATTTAATATACTAAAATATGCTTATTTCATGACATTTATTAGTAAGAGTAAAGTACAAAGGGGATTTGGGATACCAGTTTGTCTCATGAAACTCAGTCAGAAACACATTAAATTAGTGTTCCAAACAAAAGTTAAATGATGCAGTCACTGTTCTGTTCATTCTCCCACAAGAATAATAAATCATGATATTAGGGAGTGTTTTTTCATAATGCAAGACTGTAGAATAGACTGTTCCATTAGCACAGTTCACATTAATTCCAGAAATGCTTTATTTATAACGATATATTAATGCCTTAAAAAAATCTATAGTTTATTGATAAGATTTGAATTTGAATGAAAATCTAATTTTTTACTGGGTAGATGGAAGCAAAGGCTCTAATGACTGCAGGCACCCAAACATTATTCTTACATTTTATATTTTGTAGAGGTTATTTTTAATTTTTCACAAAAGTAGCCCAATAGCTAGAAGTATAAACAATTCATTTAATGATAATGCTACCTTTATGCTTAGAAAATAATGATAAACTGAATTCAAGATGGATTGTTTTCATTTGGCCATTCTTATTTTGGAATAGGTGCTTCAAAATTTTAGGATCACATGAAAAAAGAATACCAAAATTGTCTATCATCAGTTCTTCTGGTGGCAAGTCAGATGTCTTCAATTGCTTCTTGTTATTTTCTACTTAATAAAAGTATTCATTAACACTCAATGGCTAATTCAGTGATAGTCTATTTTCCAGAGTATAAACAATAATATCAAAAACCATTTCACAGAAAATACTAGTAGTTGCCAAAAGATACCTGCAAATTTCTAGAATAAAACTTTTGAATTAAGTTGACTATAATTAAAAGCATGAGAAGAAAAAGGAACAGAGGATAATTCCCTCTTGTGGGGATTTTGGCAATGGTTTCTTTCTCTTTACCTTCAGAGATATAATTAAATTACTTCCTCTAAGGTCATATGTGTACCACCTAGAGCTAAAAGGCTATTAAATGATCATTTTGTGTATTAGACCTCTGAGAGTGAAATAGATATTAAATAGAAGTATTTAAGGAAGATAGGGATTATAGTACTGTTTTGTCTACAGCAATATCTGAATTGCTATCTCTATAAAAATCTCTCCTCTAAAGAATAAAGAACCTATGTTTTGTAGTGATTGTCAAAGTTATCTATTAGGAATAAGTTAGTAATTCAAAGTTTCAATTACAGTTCACCTTAATAAACAAAGCAAATCAGGTAATAAAAATTTTTACCTGATTGTCAGAAAGCCATAAAGCTGCAAGCTCTTTAAGTTTGGTAAATGAGAATGGTAAATTCTTCAATCTGCAAAAAGAAGAAAATTCTGATAGCATGGGTAAAGATGGATAAAGTTCATTTCTAAGAAGAATTACTTAAAATACTATAAGTTGTTGATTTCATTCTTCCCTCCAATCCTTTCTCCATGTAGCAGCCTGAACAATGTTTTAAAAATGAAAACCTTCTATTTGCAACCCTTCAAATACTTCCCATTGTATCTGGATAAAACTAAAAGATTATTATCATGCATTGTCAAAGCTTAAAAGATCTGGCCCCTAAAAACTCCAGAAGTTTCTTCTGAAACTCTTTTCCTGACTCATCAGCATCACTGGCTCTCTGTCAGCCTCCCCTTTTCTCTGGGATACCTTTTCTCCCATACTTCACTTTACTTCACTTGACTAAACCCCACATATCCTTTCATTCTCAGCTTATAAGCCATTTTTGCAAAAAGGCTTTCCTTGATTTCTTATTTAAATTACTTTCCTCAGTCTAGTGTCAAAGCACCTTGTATTTGCCTTCCTGGGATATACTGCAGTTTTTAATGATATATTTATTTTTGTGATTATTTTCTTAGTCTGGAGGACTCCATGGGGCAAGGGACCATGTCTGTCTTAATACTAAAGGAATATACAGATCCCAATGTTAGGTTGCCCTTCGGAAAGTGTGCTCTTTTGTTCTTTCACCTTTTGTATATTGTGTAGTAAGTGTTGAAAGAGGAAATCCTTAGAAACAGCCCTTTCAAGATATGTGAAGTTTGACATCAGTGTTGGTATTCAATCCAAATTATGTATTTAGCTTTGGCTTCAGCCTTTCGAAGTCCAGCTTGCTAAATGCCTACTTTAACATATTATCTGAATCCCTGAAATTGTGCATGATCAACAAATTGTTGCTCACATAAGTTACTATTACAGTTTATCAGCAAAGTGAGTAGTGCAAATGAGGCATGCTGATGAGATTTATTGCTAACTTCTGGATGTTTACTTTTGAATATAGATTAACATTTTAGATATAATTTGGAATAAAAATGTCAAGTCTTAATATGTTGGAATTCTATTAACCAACTGAGGAATAAATTTATTTGATAATGGAATAAAATTACCATATTTAATAAGTATTGTGGAAGCAGTTAATTTAAATGCAAAAACAGTCAAACACTCAAATAATTTAATAAATATGAAAAGAGATTGACAGCCAATACAAAAAGATTGAGTGTTCATTCATTAGATAACTTTAGGATGAATATAATTACCTTTCTGTGCTAAATGATATTTGTGAAACATAAATAAGAATACAAAGAATAACAGATATTAAATTATATCACAATTTTTATAGAATTATTTGTTATACTGTCATTCATAACTTTAAGCCAAATAACCCCAAAAAGTCATTTCTAATTTGAAATTCACTTAAGCCAGAAATTATGAAGTAAGGTCTTATTGGGGGAATTTTTCACATCATATGGGAACAAATTAAAAGCAAAATGTTAATTCTGCTGCATTAAAATTACATGAAGGGAAAACTCTCCAGAGTCATGTACAACAATGTCCATGATGTCATTATCAATCCATTCACGATGGTAGAATATGAAGAAAGAAACTGCTAGCGAAGAATAAGTTTCCCTCATTTTTTCTTGCTCTTCCATGGGAAGTGAGCCTCTATTTAGTATCACAAGTGTGAATACAGTGGCCACAGGAGCAGTCTTGCAGCTGGCAGGGCACGGGAATCATTGTTCCTAAGTATAATGTCAAACTTTAAAAATCTATCACATTTTAAATATGAAATTTTTATAATCATTACTTTTGGATAACATTTCTTATTTAATCTTTTCTCCAAGCAGTTCATTCTCTGAGGGTAATATTTAATTTTGGTCTCAGCTTTAGCGGAATATTGACTTTTACCTCTGGTTGATTCACTGATTGATTCGTTAATCTAAAAATATTAATTTGGCTCCATAGCACGTTCCAGTCATTCTACTAGGACAAAACTTAAGCTTGTATTTCTGGTCTGATGAAGTATTTTAAACCTCTGATATTGTGAGCTTCTCAATGTCTTATTCTTACATTTTGCCCTAGGACCTAACAGCGTGTCTGGCCCATGGAAGGTACTCACGTCTGCTGTATTTGTTGAATAAGTAATTCCAAAATATTAATAGAACTTCTAATTATGGGTCATTTATGATATTTGATAAATATGTTTTCTATATAATTGTGCATTTTATTAATGAATAAAATTAAAGCAGACCAAGAATTTAGGAAAGACTTCTGTAGCTCGTCGTAAAAACCCTTTCCCAAGTTAACAGTTTCATTGGAGACTTGTAATTGAATCCGATAGGAATCCACTTTTCTACATCTCCATGACCATATTTCCTAGTATTATTTATAAAAATATAATTAGTGACTAACAAAAATGTCTTGATGAAAGTCAGAAACAACATTCAATGGTTTTCCCTCATTTTCAGTCTGTTCACCCAGTCAGAAGAGGAAACAAGGTTGGTTTGACAAGACTTACTCTCAGTGCGTAAAGATTCGGTGCTTCCTTATCATCCCAATTTTATAAATAAAATTTTAAACCTTTTAAAAACGTTTTATTCTCTTATGTGGAAATATTATTAACTACTAAGTGAATAGTTTTGTAATTCACATTTTTTTCTTAAATAAACTAAGAAACAGGTAAGAACTTCCATGTTTATCCTGAAACTTCCAGAATCTGAGCATCTTATGGTTCCATAAAAGCTCATCTTTCACTGTTTCATTGTAGGGTCTCTTGTTCCTCATATTATCACTTGTCTGACTGAAACTTATTGAAAACAGACTTCATGCATTGTATTCTGTAATTACTTTATCTACTTAGCAGTTATCTCTAGTCAATTATTTTTATTCTTTTTTGAGAATAATTAACTTTTAAAAAGAATACCGAAGCAAAGATGAATTCAAAAGTTTCATTTTTCTTTTTACTCATGTACCAGTATGACACCTTTATTAGAAGAAGAGTACTTATCCTTTCTTTGCTCTTACTTCTGTGAACATGACTGAATAGTCATTTGGCTGTCCTTGACATAATGTTCAGACTTTATGAAGTTTGAGCATTAACTTACTAGCAATATTCTCACCAGTACTCTGGAGGAGTTGAAAATGCACACATTGCCCAGTTAATTTGTTGGAGATAGAAATGTAAACATGAAAACAAATATGTATGCATATATACAAACATATTTTTATTATAATTATTTTCCATGTCCTCATATTATTATCCTTTCTGCATATGAGAGAGTTTGGGGATATAAATTTAGGTGATTTATATTTATATAATTTTAATATATAACATAATACATTATTTTAATTTAATCAAATAAACACAATTTAGAAATACTTGGTTTAAAAAATAATTTAGCTTATGCCATTTCCTAAATAAAATATAGATATTTACTTTCTATATACTTCATAAGACAGAAAACATTTTCAATATTATAGACAAAAAACCCATAATTTTCTTTCAGTAAATAACTAATAGTGTTTGCGAAATATGCAATGATACCTGTTGTCACTCAAATTTAAGACTCTGAGTTTCTGCATCTGTCCAATCTCTTCAGGAAGAAATTCCAGTTTATTGGAGCGTAGAGACATAACTGTTACATTCTTACAACTTCCAATCTATAGGTAACAAAAGAAAATAATTAAAGAATCACAGTGTAATACTATTTTTAGATTAGGATTTCTAATTTATAAAATGATTTAGTTAAGTGACAGATTTCCTTATCACTTTTAACTTTCTCTTAGTATGTGTTTTATTTTTTATTATCTTGCTTTTTTAGAATATATGTATATATTATAATATTCTTTTAAATGTTAAGGCACTTTATACCTAATATTGTTTTACATAGTAAAAATAAATTTTGCTTGCTTTTTCATTATTAAAATACTTGTTAACATAATTGTTTTCATAAATTACAATATTGTCTATCAAGTGAATACTAATATATCTGTGTTAGTAATGGAAGATCATACATACTCAAAGAAGAAAATATTATTGACATTTCTTTGGCAAAGTTAGTTTTAGTGCACATAACAGTGGCATTTGTCATTTTTATTTATAACTTTTGGCTCTAAAACAGTGATATATTGATTATTCTTTCATCATTATGAAAGTGTTTAGTCAACAATGTTAAACTGAAAATATATGTCATACTTTTTTCTTGACATTAGCAAATAAAATCCCATTTAGAGATACAATAATAAATAAAATCTCTTTTAGAGACAAAAAATTAACAGAATCTCTTGGTGGATCCTGAAGTTAAAAATAATATTATAATGTAACATGATACCTTAAAAAAGATATGCACATTAAAAAAAGTTTGCTTCAGAAATAAAAATGTAATTATCCCAAAATGTTATTTATAACTGTTCTTAAAAGCAAAATATATAAATTAAATGTTTTAAAATGGTATTCCTTGGCATTGATTAACTTACAATATTTAATTACTTTTCTTTGCATGCAGTGTTTAAGTCAAATACATTTTCTGGGTCAAACATAATAACTTGCCACTTGTCATTTAAAATAGAATGACTAACAAATACATATGTGGATAATTCCTATATATATATATACACAGCTCAACTCATGAATCTACACTGCTACTGTACCTGTTAAGATTATATTTCAAAACAAATTCATTAAAAGATAGCACAAAAAAGTGACTATATTCAACAATAAGTTAGGGTATATTTTAGAATAACTAAAAGAGTAGAATTAGAATGTTCCCAACATAAAAAAATGATAAATGCCTGAGATGTCGGATATCCCAATTATCCTGATTTGATTAATTCACATTGTAAGCCTATATCAAAACATCACATGTATCTTATAATGATATACAACTCTTATGCATCCATAATAATTTTTTAAAAAGTTAATCAATAGAAAACAAGTTTATTCCTCACTTCTCTGGGTAATTCTGGAAGGAAATTCTCATCAACTGCTAATGTACGAAGACTATGAAGGTAGCCGATAGTAGAAGGTAGTGACTCCAGTTCATTACAGCTACAGTCAAATTCTTCTAATAAAGATAAACTGAAAAGTTAAATACATTAGTTAGACATTTTCAGAGGTGAGATGGCAAAAAAAATTTTCAAAAAATCCACATATCCAAAATTCACTAAGCAAAAGTTATTCATGTGGTAATAGCATATTATATAAATTAATTTATCAGTCAGTCAAATTTCTTCCATCAAATAAGTAGTTTAACTTGCTAAAATATTATAGCTTACTTTTTTCCTTTCTGAATTCACCTGTCAGTCACTGAAAACAACAGAAGGATTTTTTATTTGTTTACAATTTAGGTGTCCTTTATAGCCAGATGTTTAGAATGTATATCCATGGGTAGGTAGAAGGGTGGAGAGGGCAGGTCCATGGGAGGGTTGAGGGGAAAAACAATAAAAACAAAACAGTGATGAAATGCTAGGTATTTTACTAAGGATTTTAGGGACTAAAGGGAAAAAAACTAATCTCTTCCTTATAAAAACTCATTAAGATCTCTACTATTTTAAAGCTCATTTTACAGATAGGGGAAAATGAGGCTTAAAGAGGCTACATAACTTGCTCAAGGCCACACAAAGTAGCAAAATTAGAACTTAAATGCAGACCATGTGGGGCTTCACTATTATTCTCCTGCCTCTTAGCATAGCATCTGCAACAGAACATATGGACAGGTCTCATTTCAGCCCACAGATGTGTTTTGTGTGGTTTATAGAGTGGCATTTTAAAAAGCATTTAATTATCTAAATATTTTTGGTGCCTTGAGGATGATCTGCATTATGGAGAGGGTGGAATGAGTTCCCAACTATGTGTTCAGTTAGGCATTCCCAACTATGTGTTCAGTTAGGCAAATCCAATACCATTGTACATGGGTCAGGAAAAAAATGGAATGCAATCAGGACCACCCTGACTGAGCAGGGTCACTCAAGGTTCATCACCTTAACAGGTTTAATAGGTTAGAACCAGTTGTAGTGAAACACAGAATTCAATTTTGAATAACAGCTCTTAGGAAAGTGCTGCTTACTGTGAAAAAATTTCCTTTTATATAGATAAGTCATATAACTTCTCTCTAAGCCCCAGATTCTTTATAGTTGTAATGAGGACACTAATAATTCCTGCCTCATGCAGTTGCTCTATTTCATGAAATATTGTAGGTAAAAAGCTTAGCACGATATCTGTCATAAATTTTTTCTCTTATTATTGGTGAACCTGGTTAAATTTGTTTCTAAATCCTTTCAGGCCCTCCCATGCAGGGATGGTTACGTTGCTGGCATGCCAGGCTGTGCATGGCTGTGTGACTTTGTGTGCATGTGTTGGGGGGGGGGTGAAAGCAATATAGGTGGGAAACCCACTAACAGAATTTATTTCTTCCTCAAAAAGAAAAAAAGTCTAGCACTGTGTTTTACACATATAACGTGCTTAACAAATGTTTTAGGATTGCATAAAAAGGTTTTCTATCAATAGTATGGGCCAGGTTCTCAGCAAGTAGACATAAAAGTATTAGGGATTTGTAAAATTAAAAATGCATGTTTAGAGATAGAAGTCAAAGATGGTATTTAATTAAAAATACATAACTAATGTTTCTCATTTCTTTCTTTCTTGTATAAAAACATGTTGTAAAGTTAATCTTGGTCACAATAAGGGAGTCCTCACTTTGAATAGTTCCAAAGTGTAGACATTTCAGTTGTTATGTTTCATTAAATAACACTAGTCCCCCAACAACATGGCTCAAATATTTAGTATTTTAACTGTGAGTGACCACATACAGTATCACAGTTTCTACAGTCTACACATCACAATGTGAATAACAGATGCACATCCTAAACCAATGACCAGTCACATCACTTCCTTGAAAGTGATCAGTCACTGCACATCTGTTATTCAGTTCACACATAGATGGCAAATCATGTAGTTGTGTTGCCTCCTTATCTCCCCGGAGTAGACAAATACTATAGGCAAAAAAATTTAGCCATTAAAGCACTACTACTGTTGGATAATGTTTTTTGGTCACCCTAATTCTCTTGGAGATTTAAATGAAAATGTGAAATCTTGCTTTTTATCACCCAGGACAACTTCATTAATTCAGCTGATGTATACCATGGAGTTATTTCAACTTTTAAAGACTACTATTCTATACAGACTTTTGAATAGGCTATTCATGCTACAACTGGTGATCATGAAGTTTCTTTACCTGAGTTCTAGATGAAATATGATATGAAACAATTGAAAATACTCAAGCATCATGGAAGGAAATAACAGCAAGTTATATACATGCATCATAGCAGAAACTTTTAGCACATTGTGGAAATAACTTTGCATTATTTGAACTGGACATAAATGGAGTTATAGAAGAAAGAGCTGCCTGTTTGAATGTTGACATTGCTGCTATTAGAGAGATCCTAGGTAAGCTGCCAGATGAATTTAATGAAGGCAAAGTTAACCACATAATGAGGAATGTGATTTTGATGTAATGGATGAAGTTTTAGAAGAGAAAGTGATAATGGTAATATACTTCACATTAAAAGAACTCTCAGAAATATTACATGACACTAAAAGCACAAAGGATAAAATTTGTGGAAGCTGATTCAAACTTAAAAAGGATGACAATTCACCAATGTACAGAAAAGATACTCTGTATCATAACTTATACTATGAAAAGAAGGTGCAAGGACTGTTCTAACAAATCTTAATAAGTTCTTTATTAAAAAATATACTTTAAATCTCAATGTTCCTAATGTTTAAAATTACAGTGTACTAAATAAATATTAGTTTTACTATTTTTCCATTTCCCTATATGTTTGTAATCTACAGTAACAGTATTTAATGTTTTGATAAAAGGTTTTAAAGACCTTGTGTAAGAACAATCATAATTCTTTCCATTTATTATTAAGGCTGTTTCGCAGTTTCAGATTGCATGGTTATTTTTATGGTCCCTGTGATAGTGTGATTTATAATAAGAAATATATATTTGGATCTTGTCCAGTTCTTGGCACAGAGCTCCTAAAACCCTTGGAATCTCCAAGGGATAAGTGTCTTTTTGCATGATAATGTGATGACTTATGGCTAGGGCCTCTTGAGTACCCTGACAATGGGGATTGTTTGCCAGGGGCCCTTTAGTCCCACCCCAGACTTCTGGGGAGGGGACAGGGGCTGGAGGTTGAGTTGATCACCAGTAGTCACCGATGTAATCAATCATGTCTACATAATGAAGCCTCCACAAAACCCCAACAGGATAAGGTTGGTAGAGCTTCTGGGTTGCCAAATACATGGCGGTTCTGGGAAGATGTCGTGCCCAGAAAGGGCATGGAAGCTCTGTATCCTTTCCCACACACTTTTCCTTAAATACCTTTTCATGTGGCTACTAATCTGTATGCTTTGTAATATCCTTTATCATAAACTGTTTAATATGTTTCCTTGATTTCTGTGAGCCATTCAAACAAATGATTGAACCTGAAGAGGGAATAATACGAACTCCCAATTTATAGGTCAGAAGTACAGGAGGTCTGAACTTGTGATTCACATCTAAAGTGGGGGGCAGTCTTGTGGTACTGAACTCAATCTGCGGGACCTGATTCTAACTCCAGGGAGATGTGTCAGAATCCAGTTAAATTGTAGGATACCCAGTTGGTGTCCACAGGGAATTGGGGAATTACTTGGCATGAGGAAAACCCACACATTTTGGTGACCTAGCTATTAAATGGTCACACTAGAATTGGAGCCCAAGCCTGACTGAATATTTTCCACTGAATTACATTACTTCTGTTGAGAATTAAAACTGAATTAAGAAGATGAAATTTAAAACCATTTATCTTTGTGTTTATTATAATCTACGTTAATAGGAGATTTAATGATATCCTATGATCACAAATGATATTAAAGTGACATTTATAGGTTATTTATGTAACATATTCACAATCCTTCTCCGCTATTAACTAGGTAATTGAAAGTTAATGGTATTAATAGTATCTTCCAAACCAAGAGCAACTCAGGAAGACCAAACTAGAAAACAGTGTAGAGAATACTGTTATAAATGAAGTCAATACTGTCCTTTGATTTCAAACATTGTTCCTCCCAGTAGTGTCATCATTGTGATACCTATGTGACCTCAGTACAACTCTTATAATGTTTCTGTGTATTTTAACTGTTATTGACATGTCCGTTGTGTGTGTTTAAATGTTACTCTTGAAAAATTCGGAAGGGCTTTATTAAAGCCTTGAAAGTCAACGTGTAGCCCCTGGATAAGTAGCATCTAATTATCCAGGAGCTGGTTACAGATGCAGGGTCTGGGCTTTGCAGCCCTGCCCTAAACACTGAATCAGAATCTACATTTTAGCAAGTTCTCCTGGGGACTGTTATGCGCACTGAAGTTTGGGAAACAGTGCTTTAAAGTACTTTACACTTTCTTTGCAACTTGTTTTTACTTTCAATATGTACAATTATAGAGATAAAACTTCTTAAAAAATAAAAGGTAAACTTAGGTCTATTTTTTTTTTTACTTCATTATTACAAATATCAGTGATGATCTGATTAAATGTGATAATTTTTCATACAGGATCTTATATTAAAACATCGCAAGTGATTTTTAACAAGATAGCCATTAATAAAGTCAGCTGGAATTGTAGGTTAGAGTTTGAATCTTTGGAATTTCAGAGAACATTAAGGAATGTGTGTTTGGCACCTACTAGCTATTCGGTATAACCCAAAGATATAAAATACTTTCAGGCTCTAAATTATTAATTCAGTATAGCCATGGTGCAGTCAAAATACTGTCTTTAAGTCCTTGCTCTGTGCAGTAGTGTGGGACTATAGAGGAAACACCAAACAATGTTTTTCCTACTGTACTCTCATCACTCAACACAGAATACTTCTGGTCACAAAAATGTGTGAATTCTTCCAGTAGTTTTAAAGATAAGTCTAAAATATTGAAATATTCCATGAGCAGAATAAGAATATTTGGGGTCACTGTAGCTGATCTTAACATTTCTAGAATTTTATGCCAAGAGTTAAAGGTAGAATATTTCATAAAAATATGTTATTTTGCAATTTATAAAAAACTTTCTATATATGACCTGGGGTGCCATTTAACAGGATCACAATCAAATTTCATTTCTTGCTCTTGAACTCGCAATTCTTAATTCACTAAAGTAAGCAAAGTCATAATATTACTGCTTTTTAGCTTTAAGACAGATTAAGGCACATAGTGAAACCTTAGAAATTTAGTCTATTTTTTATTTCCATACATGCAAATACAAAACATTTTTGTACACATGGCTATCTTGAAGTGTGAACATAAGTTAGACAATAGTCATCATAATTTTGTTATCCAAACCATGGCATGATATAGAGCAAAAATTCTCAAACTTTTTGGTCCTAGGGCCCTTTCCTACTCTTAAAAATCACTTTACACAGATGATAAAGAAAAATGTTTTAGGAAAACATTGATAATACGTATTCTTAAGGAACTATAAACTAAATGGCAATGGCACTACAAAGTTAGAAATAAATTGCTATCAAATAAGTGGAGTATATTTCATCTTAAAAGGCAATGTTGGTCTTTAATCTTGAAGTTTTAAAAAATGTTAGCCTAAAGCAGATGCTTTTCTCTTTAGCTTCTATAAATACATTAAGCTCCTATGAATACATTAAGCTTCTATAAAAATCAAGTATTACTAATAGTATAGCGGTTGCATGTACATACTTCAGGGCCTTATAAAAATTGGTTTGATAGGAGATAGCATAGACTAAAAAAAAAAGAAAAAATAGTAAAAAAATCCTAAAAAAATTAGTTTAATTTTGCAGAAATATTCCAGTGAATTTAGAGCTGGTACTCAGTCAAAAAAATCAAATTAATAATGTCTGAAAAATATCAGCCAGACTATAATTGAAGGTTTCGTTAATCATGTTGCTTGTGAGAGATCTGTAGTTTCTCAGATATTTCTCATGATATTATTTAGTTGGATATCAATGCAATGTTCAGATATAAAATTAAATATATATAGACACATATAAATATAATATAATATAGTCAAAATAAGTTGACAGATAAACAAAATTATTGGTATCTAGAGGAGAAAAATGTTTTCAAGTAGAAAACTCAATGCATCCTTTCATTTCTGGCTTTAGAGAGGCTGACTGGTATAAAATGTTGGTACTTACTTTCCAATTGTATTGGGTAGCAGTGTAAGTTGATTGTCATCTACTTTTAGAGTAGTTAGTTTTTTCAACAGCCCTAAAAACAGAAAAGAAGGATGATTAATACATAAAAGCATATTTGTGACAGGAAATGTGATGCAAAGGAAATCAAATGAATCACTTGTGATGAATGCTTGGCATGTTAATTGGCTACATTCTGCCTATATAACCCCATAAACCAATATTTATGTGCAGTCTAGTTTTGACCTTCTGGTTGCAAAAAAATTGCTTCCATCAATGGCATTCAAGAATATCAATGCAGAGAAATCAACAAAACACAGGGCTCCACAGACACCTGAGTTGACCCTAATACTGCTACATTTCCCTTTTGTATTCTTTAGCAAATGAACCAATTGAAATTTTTCAAGCCAGTTGTGATTCATATTTAATTAACTCCTAAGTACTAATAACTGACATTCCTGTTGGGATACAAATTGAAAACAAATCCAAATTAAGCCTTATAATCAACGAGTGAATACTGAAGTATTGCAATGCAGTGGTTATAATTATGGTATTGGAAAACTACAACATATGACCTCATACTCTTTTTAGTACCATAAATCCTTGGCTTGGATCAGCAGTAAGCATGAAAACTTGCAATTGTTAATACACCAAGTAGAATTGGCCAAGAATTGAAGTTGCAACTATTCATCTTGCTCTATCTGATTTATGCCCTCAGTACCTTTATGGCTTGCTCTCCTTCCAGGGTTTTAATGAGCAATAGCCACAGAGTAATTGAAGAACAGCTGCTTTGACATAATCAACTTCCTTACCAGGCTATAAAATAACTTACAGTATTTCTATGGCCTAAATAGCCAAAATCCAAGGGCAAAGCATGAACATTTTCAAAATTTTTGTTTTACATTGGAACTACACATTAGACTATAGATTACTGTGTTAATGCAAAAAATTTGCTGTGATGGATATAGTATGCTTCATGGTCAAATATGTTTTCAGAAATGCCAAGCTAAACAAAATTAAACAGCTTCCATTAACACAGTTTTTTCTCATTACATATTTTTTATTGAGGTTAAATTTAGGTAAAATAAAATGCACAGGTTTTAGATGTACAGTTCTCAGTGTTTTGATGACTTTATTCCTCAAGGTAACTCCCACCCTAAGTAAGACATAAAACATTTCCATCACCCCAATAAATTTGTTTTATGCCTCTATTTAATTCTTTCCACATGGGCAGCCACTAATCTTTTTGCCACGAGAGATGCCTTTTCCCTGCTCTAGGAATTCATATAAATGGAATTAATACAGTATATAGCCTTTTGTGTCTTTCTCTTGTGCCACATAATGTTTCTGAAATCAATCCATATTGTTGTGTCTGTCTACCTCTAGTATTCTCTTGACTGTGAATTATTATATGTGCCCTTTTATGTCTAGTATCTCTCCCTCCTTTGCATAAGTGAATAGCCAAAAACATTAGAACTGAAACATGGAGAACCAACATGGGATTCCAAAATGGGATAGAGGCAGTAAATGTTAGGATCTTGGCAGCAGCCAAAATGGACTATTCTGTGGCCAAGGAAGACATCTGTAGGGACCTTAACATTGAAGTATAAGCTGAGTTGGTATGAGGGTGCTCGGTGATCTGCATAAATGGGGGCTACAGGATAGGCGTTGTTAGGAGATCTAGGGTGTGTGTCCATATTTCTGTGGCAGGGACTGGTCTTGACTCCACCTTCTGGTATCTGCTGCTGTTGAGCTTCATATTTTTGCTGAACATCCTTGCATTTTACTTTCCTGAGTTTTGCTCTACGGTTCTCAAACCAAACCTGCAGTATTGTCAGATGTATGTCAGGTTTTGAGGCCATCTCTTTCTGAAGGTTGGGGTTTGGGTATGGATTCTTATTGAACAAGATGTTCAAATCTTCCACTTGCTTCTCAGTGAACATGGTTCTGTTTTCTATGTGAATGCATTTGATGCTTGCCATTAGGAAGCTCCTGAGCCTGAAGTCTTCTGATCCAGATGTGCTCCTTTGATCAGGTTTTTCCTAAAGTTTTCTTAAAGTTTTTCTAGAAGCTTTTAATATACTAAAATAATAATGTGACTCTCCAAAGTTATTATGGAATTTGTGTGCATGTGTGTGTGCATGTACAATATGCTGTAAAGCTAATGTTTTGTGAACGTGCTTTGGGAAGCACTGCTATAGATCAGACCCTTCCCTTCTCAAGTATTTTGAGGATTCCTTAAAGGTACAGGGTAAGTTACAAAAAGTCTGAAATAAAGCTGTTGCTATACTTTAAATTTCAGTATGCTCAGTTATGTATTCTTCAAAAGCATTCAAGATTCTACGCTAGTGGAGAGAAATGTTATCACTATTAGATTGCTATGAGAAAATACCTACAACATCAGGAGCTTAATACATCAGATTGAAAACAACAGCACCTGGGAAAGAGGACAATTCACATTGGGGCAATTTATATCTGAAGTCGGAACACTCACTACCATATTCATCTATATACAAAAGGTGATTGAATCATTTGAGTTTCTTAGCGTGTATGTTAAAATATCCACCTTGGAAATATAAAAGGACACCTGAGCTTGTTTTTCAGATATGGCCAGAAAACAGGGTCCTATGAATTGCAGCTAAATTTTTTATGACTTGGTAGCCTGATCGGACTAGTGGCACTGCCCACCGGAGGTGCTGGAGGAGGGTTGACAGCTTCAACTTCACTTGACCGGGTAACAAGGCATTAGGGGCCGGCTTACAGATGGCTGAGCACATACCTCGGAGCCAGTGTGCAAAGCTCTCTCTCAGGGGATTGGTCCCCAGCTCTGAAGTCATGCGGTAAAAACCTTGAGGCAAGTTGAGGACTAAGGCCAAATGTAGTGGCTTCGAGAAGAAGCTCTGTCACGTGGCTCTTTTTGAGGGCTTTGAAGGTTAGGCCTCCCTGCTCAGCAACATTTCTGCGTGTTTAAAGGAACCTCGTTCTCTTGTGACTTTGCTGCTCAGATTTTATCCAAGGGAAAACTCTGAGCAGATTCTGGAGCTTCTGTAGAATGTCACTGTTCCCGATGTGGAATTAGGACACCAGCCTAATCCTCATTTCTTATGTCTTCCTCTGACAGATAATTTCTTTACTGCATTTCAGTACCATATCTTCTTGGACTCCCTTCTACTCTACAGAAATCAAAGGTATCTCATCCTATTCTTTCTCTCCCCTTGTGCCCTTCTCCAATTCTCCACCTCATTATCCTGTACTCTCAACTAAGAAGTACTGGAGAGAAAGAAAAAGAAGGCTTTTTACTATAATTTTAGCTATATATATATAAATATATTATTAGCATCAACATATTGAATATTAATATCATTTGTTATTAAAATAGCTAATATTTACATGGCATTTAAATATATGTAATAGAACTTTGAAAGCAAATAGCTGTGTACTTGTTAAATCTAAGATTATAATACTTTTTATTATTATAACAGTTGCTTACTCTATGTTAGGTAGGATTCTAAGCAATTTCACATATATTAATGTATTCCTCAAAATAATATCATGATGCAAGTACTATTACTATTTTCACTTTATAGATGATGAAACTGAGGCACAGAGAGATTAAGTAAATTGTCTAAGGTCACACAGCTAGTAAGGTAGAAAAGTCAGAATCTGAACTCAGGTAATCTGACTGCAAAGCCTGTACCTTTAACCAGTAAGTGAATAAGATAATTTATTTTGGAAAGTAAAAAATTATATTTTCCTTTATTGAGTTTCTTTGCTATCCAAAGAAGCTGATTATTAAAACAATCTAGAAGAGGAAAAGAGTCCCCTTCAATTTCCCTGGAAGTGGCAAAAGGAAAGTGAGTCAGCACACAGGATTTGTTGTTGAGTGCACCACTCCATTCAAACAACCCACAGCTGCAGAGGAACTCAAAGAGACATGATGGAAGTAAAGATTTTATTTTAGTTGCTACATCCTTCTATTAATACTATAAAGATTCTTATCTTTTATTCTTTTAAGTGTTGGTGGTCCAATAGATACTGAGGAAGACATGATGTAATTTGCCATCCAGTTAGCACCAATGAATTATTCTAGGGCCTCAGAATAGAGCTCTTCAGATGCTAACCCAGATATTTCTCTTGACCAAAAAGGGAATTCTCGGAGGAAAGTCAGTCATTCCACCTCTATCATCAGGGACTGTGGGAACTCTGCAGATGTATAAATATAATTTCCCCCGAAAGGTCAATAAGGCCCAAAGATAGTTTGAAAAGTAAGCTAATGTAACAGTTACTTTCTTCATTTGGGAACCATTCAGATCCTAAATGAAGTTGTAAAATATATACTACTACTTGTCTGTCTGAATCTGTTTTGTGCCAGCCCAGTATCTAGCATGATATTTTGTTACCTAGACATGCTGCTTTCCTCAGACCAGGAGGCTAATTTCCTAGTTTGCTTTCTTAAAGGAAGGTATTTTAAACAAATAATTATATCATGTTAATAATAATGCTTCATTTTCTACCACCTTTTAAAATCACATTTTTCTGTGTTTTGTTTTAAATGTGTCTCATAATCAGAAGATAGATGAACTTGAAACTCTGGATCTTTTAACGAAATAAGTTTAATTTATTATATCCATTTTGTTTGTTGTGATTTATGATACATAATTTGAATTTATTTTTACCATCTTATTTTATGTTTTCTATGATTTTTAAAATTCTATTTTTATTTCTTCTGATGTATAAATATTTTCTTTCATGCCTCTCTTCCTCCTCTGCTGGTTGGAAATTATAAATCCTATTTCTATTAAGTAGATATTAATGAATTTTTAACATGTAGCAAATATTTAACTTAATATTTTCTACAAATTCTAAAGTTATTAAGTGTTTTAGCCTCTTCCTGAACAAGATAATGTCCTTAGCACTCCATAGTCCTTTCTAACAATGCTCTTCCATGTCTTTTATTTCCATATTTTCAATATAAAAGATTCCTCTTTTACAGTCACTAGTTATTTAGATATAACAACTTAATTTACCAAATCAGTTCTTTCATTAAGGGTCCTCACTCATGAGTGAGTGTTTAGCTGGGTATAGATATCCAGCCTGCCTATTATTATTCTTCAGTAATTGAAGATACTACTCCACTATCTAGAAGCTATTTTCACCGATGAGAATTATGACATCTCTAATTATTTTTGTATATGAGCTCTTTTTGTCCTATGGAAGATTTTAAGATTCTTTTTCCTTTATCCTTGCAGTTTTACAATAATAAGCCAGGGTGAATTTATTGTATTTATCCCTTTTAGCATTATCTGTGTGCATTTAATATGAGAAATTACTAGTATCTTCAATGCTGAAAAAATACTCTCAAATATTTTTTCTTTGAATACTTTCTCTGCCATTCATTCTTTCCTATATTTCTGAAGAAGATAATTTTTTAAAATTTATTTATTTTTAGAATACAATTTCTATTCTATTCTCTGTGTCTCTTAACTAATCTTTAGTATTTTCCATTGAAAAAGCTCTATGTGCCTGTTCTATTCCTCAGTATTATCTGCCAATTTACTAATTCTGAACCTGACTATATTGCCCTCTCTTTATTATAGCTGTTGCATTTTTTTTATTTACTTATGTAGTATTTTCAATTCCAGGATTTATTTTTTTAATTTCTTCTTTAAAATTGTTGACACTTTACAATCATGTATATTTATGGGATACACAGTGACACAATGATATATATATATGCATATATATATATACATGAATTTATATAGTGTAGAATGATTGAATCAAGCTAATTAAAATATCCATCACCTTAAATACTTACCATTTATTCCTCCTGTCTAACTGTACCCTTTGACCAACATCTCTCTTTTCATTTCCAGGATTTTTAATTGATCCTCTTTCATAATCATCTATTCTTAGTTATGGCTCTTATTTTATAAGGTCTTATTATTTTTATGAATGTCATTCTTCCTTTGACTATTTGAGGATCTATAATACTTATTCATAAAATTATTTTTACATTGCTTGATAACTTCTGTTTCCCTTGGGGTAAATTCTCCTATTTGGTTGAAGTTTTGGTTGTCATAATATTTGTTTTCCTTTGAAATGTTTGCTTGCAATCTCATTTGTGAGAGTGAATGTTTTCTCCTTCACTATGCTCCCCCCTCCCTGTCTGGATGTCTTCTGGTTACCTCTCCCTCCCTGTCTGGATGTCTTCTGGTTACCTCTACCTGACCCCCAGGTTTCTAGAGTTCAGAACCAGGTCTCATGTTAGCAACGTGGTATTCTCATCCTATGTGGATATTGCAGATCCAGTCCAAGCCAGCTTGTGACTCGCCATAATTTTCAGCAGTTTCAACCTTTCTATTCTCTCCTTCCTCCATAGCTCCACATACTAGTAATAGGTTTTTTCAGTCTCTCTTCACAGAAAAGGGATCCCCGCCTTAATCTTTGGTAAGCTCTGATTCCCCTGTTATGCTTAAGGCACTTCTATTTTTTATTTCACTGCAGGAACTTCTGTGGCTGCTGTTTGTGGTCCAGAGCCTAACAGACCTGGGGTCATTGCTGTACTTCAGTTCTGTCTCAGCTTCAGGTAGATGCTCATTCTTCTTAAGCATGGCTAAAATTCTTTTATTTATTAAGTATTGAAGGAGCACCTACCACATGCCAGACAAAATTCTTGGCACTGAAGAGGCAACAATGAAGAAAAATATATTCTTTGAATATATGTGGTTTTTCTATCCTCATCATGTATTTAAAACTGTATGGAATGGTGGTTGAGTAGGGGTGTGAGGTTATGTATTAAGTCACTCTTGACCAGTGATCTTGACCAGTGAAATGTTCTTTTTAACTATTGTACTTTCTTACCTGTTACAACATAAACCATTATTTCCTAAACTTGTCTGATCACAAGTTTCATTTAGGATATTTAATAAAAATACAGATCAGAGTGCTTGCCACACATTCTGAATCAGAATTTTCAAAGACAAAGCCTGGAAATGTGGGAGTGTTTGACAAAGCTCTCAGTTAGAACCCAGGATTGAGCAAGTTGCAAAAATACCATTATAAAATATGTGATTATATAAATCAAAAAGCCAGAAAATCTAGAAAGAAAGGAAACTTAGACTTTGATTTTGCTAAAACTAAACTCTTTATCCACCTTAAACAATGGCAAACTGGAAATAATAAGATAGTGAAGAAAAGTTTGGGAGACTACCTTGTCTTCATCTGGGCTACCTAGGTTGTGACAATTTTTAGAAGCATTAAGTTCCAGAACATGTAACACAATTGTTTCAAAGAGGTTAAAATCTATATTCCTTATTTATATAAAAATTTATAAACAAAACTATATTGAAGGCTTACTATATACTGACAAATTATCTGCCCTCATGAATCTTAACAATATGATAAAAACAATGTGTCTTTCAAAAAATAATAGAACTAAGAAAACATTTCATATTTATATATTTTCATATGTTATTTCCATACCATTAATATAACAATGTTACAATATTAAAAATAGAACATAGCAACATCTTGTGGATAGAACTACTATAATTCTATCATGATATAAGGAGATGTACATAGTTACCAAATAACTATAAATCTAATCTATATACTCCTTATAATGACTCTCATAACATAAAAGATCTAGCAATTTTTAAAATATACCAATTTAGCAGGATCATCTTAATAGGAGAGCCTTCTTGAAATTGGCAGCTTAAGTTAATATTTCATTTTAGGATATTTGTAAAATACTATTTTATGATTTGTGTAGTGAATTTGATAATTTATTAATATTAGACTAACAGTATATTATCTATATCTATAGACAAATTATACTGACAAAAAAGAAAATGGTATATTTGACATAAATATTCATGACAAAATGTTATATTCTCACCGATTGAGTCAGGCAACTGTTGCAACATATTGGATGATAGTAAGAGGTCTTCAAGGGCTTCACATCCAGAAATATCCATGTCCACCGTTTCTATTCTGTTTTTTGACATGTCCAGGTATACCAACATCTTTAACTTCCCTATAGACTTGATGACATTGCATAAACTCAGAGTTAGTTGAGAAACTTTCACGGGATATTTTAAAGTTGTAAAAACCACAACGCTGTAAAATTAATTTTAAAAGAAACCACAACAAAAACAAGTGTTGGCAAGAACATGGAGATATTGTCAAACCTTCAAATATAGCTAGAAGAAATGTAAAATGAGGCAGCTGCTTTGTAAGTAGATTTGGCAGTTTCTCAAAATGTTAAACAAAAGAGTTGCCATATGACCCAACAATCCCTAGGTATATACCTGAAAATAAAAAACATATGTATACACAAAAACTTACACAAATAGTTGCATTATTCACAACAGCCAAAAAGTGTTAACAGCCCAAATTTCCATCAATTGATGAAAGGATAAACAAAATGTGATACATACATATAATGGAATATTATTTGGCAATAAAAAGGAATAAAATATTGACACATGATATAAAGTGGACAAGCCTTAAAAACATATGCGAAGTGAAAAATACCAGTCACAAAAGACCACATATTGTATGATTGCATTTATATGAAATGTCCAGAATATGCAAATCCAAGAGATAGAAAGTAGAGCAGGACTGCTAGGAGGTAGGTGGAGGGGGGCGTGGGAGTGACTGCTAATGGGTTCACAGATTCTTTTAGTGCTGATGACAGTGTTCTAAAATTAGATAGTGGGGATGGTTGCACAACTATCTGAGTATTTTTTTTTTTTTGAGACAGAGTCTTGCTTTGTTGTCCAGGTTAGAGTGAGTGCCGTGGCATCAGCCCAGCTCACAGCAACCTCAAACTCCTGGGCTCAAGCGATCCTGCTGCCTCAGCCTCCCCAGTAGCTGGGACTACAGGCATGCACCACCATGCCCGGCTAATTTTTTCTATATATATTATTTGGCCAATTAATTTCTTCCTATTCATAGTAGAGATGGGGGTCTTACTCTTGCTCAGGCTGGTTTCGAACTCCTGACCTCAAGCAATCCGCCCGCCTCGGCCTCCCAGAGTGCTAGGACAGGTGTGAGCCACTGCGCCCGGCCACTATTTGAGTATTTTAAGGAAACACTGAATTATATATGGTATGAGAATTATATCTCAATGCTGCAGTTAGAAAACACAGCAATAATCTTGAAGTTGGCACTGAAACCATTAATGCTGATATGTTGATCCTTAAAATTTCAAATGGATAGGAAAGGTTTAAATTCTGACTTGGATTTTATCCTACTACTCAGATTCAATGTTTTTTTCAGTCAACAGTCCTTTTTGAGGATGTACTATAAACCAGTACCTGTGCTATAGGTTGACGGACAATCATGAATAAGACAGCTAGGTATGGGGGAGACTTGCCATGATGAAGACGGTTCATAGCAGTAGTGAAGGAAACTTTCAGCTGAACAGATAATTACAATATCCTGTGATATGTGCAATAAGAAAGCATGTAGGGAATGCCACAGAAGAAAAGGAAAGAGCTGCAAATTGTCTGGAAGGCAATGATTATTAAGAAAGGAGAACTTGTACCTACAAGAAAGAACAGCACATGCATTCACAGAGAAGTGTGAAAAAGCATGGAGCATTGGAGAAAGAGTGAGAAATTCTAAGTGGCTGAACATAGTAATGAAGTTGGGATTATAGGAAGAAGCCAGCTGTTAAAAGGCCTTAGATGTGAAGAGATAATGAACTCTTATAGGCAAGGAAAGCTACCAGGCTTGTAAAATGGGGAATGACATGCTCAGATTTGTGCTTAGAAGAAACAACTTTGGGGAACTTTCAAAGGCTGGAGTCAGGGAGATCCAATTACAAGTATTTTAGTTGTTTAGTAGTTAAGGCAGCAGAGGTGAAGATGAAGAGGGGATAGATTCAAGAGAAACTCAGGAGTGGAATGACTGGATTAGTAACTGACTACTGAGGACAGAGGAGGAATCAACCCACACCTTGGGCAAGAAGGGAACAGTAATCACATGGGTGGAACACGGATTACAGGAGTTAGGGCAGGATGAAAGTTTTCATTTTCCTTTTCTTTAGGGCATGTTTTGCAAATAAATGTTCCACACATTTTGTTTGCTCAATGGTTCATCCATTTATCTGGTCTACATGTGTACATTTTACCATTTTACTATATTATCTCTTCTTATTTGACAGAGTATAAACCAACAGATATATAATAAACATTTATTACACACACAAAAGCACACACTTTGCACTGTGCTAAGTACTTTATATATATATATTATTTATTTATTTTTTTCTTTTTTTGAGACAGGGTCTTGCTCTGTCACCCAGGCTAGAGTGCAGTGGTGTCATAATAGCTCACTGCAGCCTTAACCTCCTGGGGTCAGGCGATCCTCCTGTGTCAGCCTCCTGAGTAGCTGGGACTACGGGCATGTGTCACCACTCCTGGCTAATATATTATTTAATACTTCACATTCTTGCCACTCACTATGTGTGCACAGACTAGCAGCACTGACATGACTTGGGAGCTTGTCAGAAATGTAGAGTCTCAGAGTCACCCACACCTGCTGAATCAGAATCTGCATTTTAAAACATGCTAAATCTTAGAGGTTAAGTAATGTCATGCCTTGGGTTCCCTGGGAAGGAGAGGCAAAGATAGGAGTTTATGAGAGAATGCTTTTCAGATCAACATCAGTGGACAGGAAGAGGTAGGAAAGAAAGAGGCAAAGAAGTTAGGCTGTGATGAAATCTTGAGAAAGTCCTCAGCTGACCCTTCAAAGAGCACTGAAATTGAACTTGCCCTGCAGTTGTTCTGAGTAGAGGCCAAAGGATGGGCCTTTATATATTTCTGCATTATAGGACTTCAGCCTACAAAGCCCACTTAACTATTTTATGGGCAATTCCTGACCTCCATGTCCCTAACTGACCCAGCGCACATCTCCAGCCCTGCTCCCTCAGGTCTCTATATGGGTGCAGAGTACGAGCACAGTCTCAGAGTGGCTGAATGTTTGCTCGGCTACATCAGAGTACTGGAATCAGAGTATTTTGGGTGAGTGAGGGCTAAGTTTCTCACCATTCTTAGAAATGTGTCACTTGGAAAAATACCATCACTTTATTTATAGTTTTCCACCCCAAGGAACTATTATGTTGCCTAAGCTCACTCTTCTCTTCCAATGAGCAATAAAAGATGATATATGTGTTTATGTGTGTGTGCTTCTTTTTTATTCCTTTATCATGAGAAAAATTCTTTTGTCCTTGAAGCTTCCTTCATTGCTATCTCCAGCATAACTCAGTATTTTGGTGTGCAGTTCCTAAACATTCTTTTTGGAAGCAAAATAATATATTGGTGTTTATTTTTGAGTCTTTCTCAAACTTCAATTTCAAACACCTTGGCAAAAATAGCCTGGGGTGGTAAGGGCCTTAGAGACATAATGTTGCACAATCCGGAGGATAGCAAATGTTGCCCCAACATCCCTCCAGGTGTAGAGGGGTCTGTAGGTGAGCAGCAAACAGCAAATGAAAAGAGTGGAAACCACACGTGAAAGAAGATGCTGGAGTTGGTTTAAAAATAAACACGTATTCAATGCAGTTTACTCATATTTTGGTTGATTAACCTTGATTGATGGTCACAGGAACTATGCAGAAGCTAAATATTTTATCATTATTTATTTAATTCTCTGATTTACGAAAAACAGAGTGGATAATAAAAATATTTAAAAGGTATATTAACTTTATTATGATACATGAACTAAGAAAAAAAAGTGAATTTGCTTTTTTCCCTGTGGCTTATGACATTAAATACTTAGGATTAATCATTCTGTGGAACTGACAGACATATGCTGCAGACTGCACTTGAGATGAGCCTTTCAAAGTTGACTGTTTTTGGGTAATTGAAAAATAACTATTTGCCAGCACCGATATTCAGACAGCCATTCCTATTTTTAGCAGGGAGGTGTGGGGTATTCTCACACAGGGGATAGCAAAATGCCTAATTCAAGTGTACTAAATAAAGTAAGGAATCTGTAGCATTCCATGTGAAAAATCTACTTTCAAAACAGACAAATTAGGCAGCATTAAATGTTTTACAAAAGATTTCATCACTACCTTTCAATTTAAATAATAAGCTTATTAAGGAGTTTGGCATGTAAGTTGATCTGCACAGTTAGATTTTGGGAACATAACCCTTATGAAAAGCAAGATGAATCTAATTCTCATTTGTACCTTCTGTTGGTTCTATAAAGAGCATCTTGGGGCATCACAATGAATAGTAGGCTCTGTAGCTCATTTGAATTATAGCTTCACCATTTATTTACTGGCTACATGACCTTTGGGCTAAGTTACTTCTTCTGTATTTCAGTTTTATCATCTATAAAATGGGGATGGTAATAGAACTTACTTCATAGGGTTGTTATGGGGATTCAATGAATCAATACTTGTAAAACATCTAGAGGGTGCCTCGCCCATGGTAAAGGCATGTAAGTGTTTTAATAAATAAATATATTGAAGAAACAGGTATAAACTTCCAACTAGACATATATTCTGATTACTCAATTTCTGCATAGGGAATGGATGAGTGTCTTACCTGTGTTGCCCTAGGATTTGTACATACCTTGAATATGGCACAAATCAAGCTCTACTGTGTATAGTAGAATCCAGATCTGTCTTTCCTGCTATGTGTGAACTCCTCAAACAAATATGTTCAAGGTCATTAAATATATTATCTTTATAAACCTGACATTAGCATAGTTTCTGATTCATAGAGGTATATTGGTAAATGATTTTTGAATAAATCAATAAATAGAAGATGTACATACTTTTCTGTTTTGTCTGTGATGATAGTAGAAGTGTATCCTTTTGATAAGAGAAGAAAGTATTTTTTCCCTAATCTTTTTTCAAATTTTCTCCTTTATGTAGTTTCATGCTTATTCAAAGAAAGAATAAGCTTCTTGTTGCTTTTGCAATCATTTTAAGTAGTTTTTAATGTCAATTCAGAAGAGAAATAAAACTGGCTTTGAGAACACACATCTGAACCTCTGTGTTGGCTGAAGATTTATTGCATATCCATTTGTTCTGGCTACTCTGTCCAATGCCAGGAGTTCAGAGTTATCCAAAACAACTGAGAGATTGTGTTTGCTCTATGTGTGTGTGTGTGTATACTCATGCATACAAGTGGCAAGGGGCAGTGTTTTATGGCAAGCCATTCTTTCTCTAGATGGAAAAAAGCAGGGATACTTGCCAGTTGACTGGTAAACCTACTACTCAGGAGATATTACTGGACTGCTGTTTAGTTGAGGAAAAAGACTGACTCTGATTTAACTTTCTGTTTTTAATACAGTGTGATTCAAATGGATTCTATTGGAAAATTGAGAGAGATTTTTATTTTGTGGAAGAGCTCTAACAATATGAGCAGAAATCATTGTCTAGTTATATATAAGAATCAGGTTAATTTTGTAAAAATAAAGCTTGGTATTATGTGTAGTATTTTGCATTTTAATGATATAGTTACAAATTTTGTAGCTTTAATAAAACAGTAAATGTGGAAGAAATAACAAATATACTCTAAAGAGAACAAGAAAAATCTTTCACACATTTTGCATACCTATAATACTCACAAAAGATATATGAGATACTAAAAAAATGAATTAGTTGAAACAGTTGGTGAATGAATACTCCTAAGAAGTGTTATTTTACTTTGAAAAGCAAACACTGAGAATTAAGATGAATTAGTATCAAATACAACCAATGTATAACATTAATGTTAAACAACATGGCATAATAAAAACTTACATACCCCAGGTAGCACTTGTAATGCATTATTATCCATCCATAACTCCCTTAAGTTTTGTATTTGATCCACAACTTCAGGCTAGAAGAGAGGTATAGAGAAAGGAGAGAGGAGAAGAAAACCAAATTAGTCTTTTCTTATCACAAATATAAGATGTAATTTCTTAGATCTCAAGTTTTTATTTGGGAATCCAGTATTAGTCATCTAAGAAATTCCAAGTTTAATAGACCTCCAGAAAAACTGGTAGTCCCTGAGGTAGCCAATCTGGAATTAATCTGGAGTCAATTGAAACAATAATAATAAAAATCAAGATCTATTACTCACATACATTCTCCCTTAATACCTTATGATGATTCTTTGTGGCATTAATTACACTGTATTTGTTAAGTGTCTGCTTTCTTCACTACAGTATGAGCTTTTGAAGGCCAGGGGAATTATTTTTGTAACCACTATCTCCTCACATCCCTGTGGCTTACCCTTGTACTTGGGCACATAGTAAGTTCTTACTGTGTGTGTATCAGCTCCTTGCAAACACCCATGCATTACAGTACCGTGATGTGATAATAGTGTGCATAAGACCCATTGACTTCTTATCCCTTCATTTTATCATCAAATAATATAATTATTTGTGGACTAGTGGGGATGCTTTCCATGTGTAATGCACAATACAGAATCTGTAGTTCCTGCCTTGAAGTAGCTGATGATCTAGATCTAGGGGAGAGAAATGCTTACACATAACTAAAACACAAGGCAACATATGGGAGAACAGAATACCTTAGAGAAGGTTAGAGAAGGAAAAAAGAGAATATGATCAAGGTTTAACCTGTAGTGCATAATAAAATACTTTCATTCCCTAACTAGAACCTGTCTCTAAATTCTATCTTCTCAGTGGCAGACTATCTAGAGAGAAAAGAGGTTGCTATTGCTGCCAACATCATAAGCTCCCTTGTGGTGGCCTCATTTCTCTCCAGAAATTATCCCCTTACACACTCTTTGGCCACTTGCTTCCTTTGACACCCGGTCCTTTTTTACCACTTGGGGGGAGGGGGCAGTGACTAAGGCCGAAGCTAATCAGTGCATTGTATTCATCTGGCTACAGGGTTGGTTCAGGGATGGGAACATGACCCACTCAGAATCTATACAAAGCCATGACTCTTTGGCTGTGTCTTCTGGGGAAACAACTTTTTTTCTGCCCTGCTGGATTCGAAACTGGAAGGGTATAGCTCTTGGAACTTCAGCCAGGAGTCAAAGGGAAGAGTCTGTCTGACGATGGAGTCTTTCTAAAGAAAGTTGAGTTAAAAGATAGATCCTGGTTCCATCATATTGTCCTGGGACTAAGCCACACCTGAAGCCAGATTTTTTTGTTTGTTTGTTTGTTTGTTTGTTTCCCAAACTGAAAGAATTAGTACCTACTGAAACAATAAAATACAAGCATAGTTCAATAAAATTTGGGACCTAATTAGGAAAGCCAGTGCATTTCATAGAATACCTGTGGGAAAAAATGGAATTGTATCAAAGTTAGCATCAGAATATTAATAATTGCAGGTCAGTGGAGGTTATACATGCACCCTTGACATATTAGGAGTGTTTCAGAGACTTCCAGACCTACTATGGAGATAGTCTCTGATCCCTTTAGTCTTCAATTGCAATAGAACATGCAATTGTTCTTAGGAGAAGTTTCTTAGGAGATTCTTAGGAGAAATTTCCTTTATAAAAAGAGTCAAAATTTAAAGTTAGAGACATGACATTCTGCTGTGAAATCAGAGCCAAGTATGAGGGAGTATGGAGAATTTTTTTTTTTAATGTAGGAAAATGTTCCCATTACCACTTAGATTGTAGGAAACAAGCAGTGAATTACTCTGCCTGTACATTATGCTGGGCAGGGATAGAAAACATAAACGTACTGTGGGAAGCATACTGATACACAGAGGTTTTGAGGCACAGGGCTGGCTGGCAACAGTCATGTGGTGTCTTTTTCCCTAAGCCTAGGCATTATGCAAAGGTAAGGAGAAGAGAAAGAGCTGCTCACTGGGTAAGGCTCAATAAAACTGGATATGCAAATAATAGGACAGAGATTAATGTCTATGCTTGTAACAAAAAGCATTATTCAGGGTAGACTAGATTATGCTCCGGTAAGAAATTAATCATGAAATCTCAGTGGCTTAACACAACAGGCTTACTTCCTCCTACTACTACTTGTCCAACATGGGTTTCTGCCCCACGATCTTGTGGTATCACCAGCTCAAGACTTCTAGAAGAGCCAAAGCAAGGGAGGAGAAAGTGTGGAAAATTCACAACTACTCTTAAAGACACTGGGCAGGAAGTGACATGTATCATTCATGTGTATAGCTTATTTTCTAAACTATTTATATGGCCCCAACCTAAGTGCAAGGAAAGCTGGGAAATTTAGAGGGAGAACATGAAATGTTTGATGAACACTACTGTCTCTGCCACACAGTGACACAGTATGAAAAAAATAATGACAAGAATGGACACACAGCACTTTTTTATAATTTATTCATCCCTTCATTAAGGAAGTGCTGATTAAACATCTTTTAAGTGCTAGGCATTACACTAGAGTCATAATGCATAGAACAGTCTCTCCTTCAAGAAACTCACAGTCTAGCTCTGTAGTAAACATACATAAAGGTAATACATGATATTATGAGAATACAATGTAGGGGGACTTATCTGCCTTAGTATTGAGGGGGAGCCAGAGAAAGATTCATGGAGCTCAGATGAGAAGGAGTTGAGGGACAAGAAGAGAGGAGTGGAGAGAAAAAAAAGTACATTTTAGCCAGAAGCAGAGTGGTGAGAAATAGCCTGATGTGTGAATAGGAATGATAGGAAATTTGCTCAACTAGAGTGTTAAGTTTGAGACACACTGAGTACCAGGAAATGAGTCCAATAAGGAAGACAGGGATCTATGAAGGCCTCGTACTTTTTTTTTAAGGAGATAGGACCTTATTGTATGGGTGAAGAAGTATGATTAAAAGATTTTTAATAGGAAGTGACTTTGGCAGATTGGTATTTTGCATATATCCTCCACCCTGGTAGAAAAAAGAAAAAAAAAAACAGGAAGTCTTATTAGAGCTAGTAATGAAAGAGGTAATGAGGAATAAAGAGAAGTTGATTCAGGAAACATTTAGAAGATAAAAATGGTAGGAGTTGGTGACTGGATATGCGGGAAAGGGAGTGAATCATGCATGTCTCCGTTTCCCAGCACATAGTGGTGTCACCAATGGAGATGCAGAATACGGGCGTGGGAGCAGATACATGGGAGAAACTGAATTCCGTTTTGATCACAATTATCTTTAGGCTCCTGAGGGACGTAAGTGGAGATGTCCAGGAATCAGTTGGCTATTAAAATCTAAAGTTTAGGGAATAGGTTTCAGCTGGTGGTACAAATTAGGCATTTCACGGAAGCAGAAACACAGGGATGAGCTCCTCATGGGGAATGTGAAGGGAACCAAAAGTGCATTTGATTGAGGAAGGTACCCTGAGGGATGCTAACACTTGAGGGCTGAAAATAGGAACAAAGAGTGGACAAGAGTATCATACAAAAGACAGGTGTCCAGTGAAATAAGAGATTGAAGATATCCACTCAATTTTGGAAATATTAGGCCACTGGTAATCTTGGTGATAGCCATTTCTGGTGATAACTATATTACAGTTGGTTGAAGATAAATAAGAGGAAAATAAATAAAGCCAATACAGGTAGAATATTCTTTGTCAAGTTTGAAGGAGAGGAGAGGAGAAAAGTTGGGGGGCTATGAAGTAATTGAGGGATCATGGGAAAAGAAAGCAGATAGATACTAGCAAACAGGGACAGGTTAAGGACAGATAAAATGTTACAAAAGTAATGGTTTAAACTCCAAGAAGGGTCAAAGATAGACTGGAGAATAGAAGTGAGATGCCTCATTCGTTCAGCCTTGAGGGAAAATTGTAGAGATGGCACAGGTGTAGGTGGGCATGGTGCAGGGAAGGCTGGAAGGTAAAGAGAATAATTTCTGAAATTCTCAAATTTTCTTGATGAAATAGGAAAAAAGGTGATCCATTGAGCATGAGGGGGCAAGAATTTTGTATACACAGAGCAGTGGGGAGAATGGCACATGCTCAAATAATTTGAGGGGAATCAAAGAGGGAGCTGAGGACTATCAAAAGAGCTCTATCAATAATAATCATTATAACTTTTTTCTGGCCAAGGAAGGGGACTGACAGTCTAGGAGAAAATAGAAGAAACAAAAGACTTCGGGTTTCATAGGTCAGAGAGGAGTATAGTAGTAGTGAGGGGCAGAGAGACTGGAAGAATGAAAAATTAGAAAGAGAGAGCAGACTTTAGGGGGTTCAAGATTTCTGAAGTAGTTCCAGACAATGACAAAATTCATATTGTATCTCTAGGGAGAGTTGGCTAAGGTATGAAATAGACAGTATTGATGTGTGAGAGGGGAAGAATGCTGTGGGAACGTAAGGCCTTGCATGGTTTGTGAGGATTTTGGCAGCCTTTGGTTCACTGCATAACTTGCTCTCTTGGCTGTGCCAGGTGAAGTGGCAGATAAGCTGACCAATTATTCCTCTGAAATTTCTCTGTATTGAGGACCCCAGGCATCTGGTAATATGACCATGTGGAAAGGGATAACTGATGCTAATCTGTGTTTCATATTGTTTCAAAAGATCTCATTTAATCTGTTTAATACTATAATAAGGTAATAATGATCCCATTTTATGGATAAAGAATCTGATAATCATTTCCTGGGGAAAATGAGAATGATGTGATTGGGGGTTGCATAACTGCAGCTGGGATTATTGCTCAGGCCTTCTGGCTCCAAAGATGATATCATGTTATAGCTTAAAATTGAAATTCCAAAATAATAAAGAGAGCTGGTGATCACAAATGCCCAATAAAGAAAGTAAAGCATATGCTAGATTTCTAAAAAAATGATATTTTTATTACTGGATGTTATAATAAAATGTGCTATAGAGGAAACTTCAGAAACTTTCTGATAATAGCAGAGACAAAATATAGTTAGCAGATCAATACATAGCCTTGGTGAAAACAAAACAAAAACCACAACATGAAT